AGTCTGTCCCAGAGGTGGAAGCAGATCCCTTACTTGAGTAATAGTAGAAATACTAAGTCCTTAACATACTCCACTACAAGTAGAACTCTTAAGTGCGAGATGTTACTTAAGTAGAAGTACAGAAGTAATATCAGCTAAATGTACTTACAGTATCAAAAGTGAAAGTACTCAATATGCAGAATGGTGCCTTTCACATAATTATATTTTTCACATCAGGGCATTTTAAGGTTGAAGTTTGTCAAGGGGAAGCCAATTTTAGATACTTTAAATTAAAATGCTGGTTTGTATTGTTGTATATCGGTAGTGCAGTTCTGCATTATATCATATAAGCAAATAATCAGCAAAATATCCTTCTTTTATATACTGTCATATCATTTGGAACAATAATAACAAATGTGTGAAAATCTGACTCTGTTGCCATCTTCTTTTAGTGAATGTTGTTACATTTGGTGGCTTATTTAAAATATCTGCACTATAACACTCATTTTAACACTGTTTCTGTGTACCTTTCCCCCCGGCAGACAATGATCTTCAAGGAAGTGATGGTTCTGGGTGTTTGGGTGGCCCAGATGTTCGCAGACGAATCCCCATCAAACTCATATCCAAGCAGCCTTTAAGGAGCAAACCTCCGCCCCGCACCCAGAGACCCAGCAGCAGACCCCCGAAAGTAGAGCCTGGAGAAGATGGTAAGCAGGAGCTATGGTGCTACTATGAGTGTCTTACAGTTAGTTGTGGTGATGGTCACAAATATGACCTCTTTGCCAAAGCAGTTGCACATTAAACATTCAATATCAGGAGAAAAATCATGGTTACTTCATGCTGTTTGCCTTCTCTCGACTCATCTAGTATGGCAATCTTGATTTCCTGTAACCCTTAAAGGTCCCATGTCATGGCCATTTCTACTGATCATAATTCCATTGTTGTGGTATACTAGAATAGATTTACTTTGTTCAATGTTCCAAAATCACATTGGTTTCTCATACAGCATCTCTGTATAGTATGTGTATTCACTCTCTGTCCTACACGCCTTGTTGGAGCTCCTCCCCCCCCCCTCCCTATGAGCCCACTGTGCTCTGATTGGTCAGCTCGCCCACTCTGTTCTGATGAGTCCACCACCGTTACAGCGGAACATCAGTGATTGTGTTACAATGGCGTTTGTTAGCAACCAGAAAATGACACCAGTAATGACAAACAGATGAGAATGCTGCGTGGGGTCTGGGTGCCGTGTTGGCGGGACGTTGCGCGGCTCGCTGCTGCGAGGAGCGGACAGTGTGAGCTGGGTTCATTTCCTGCTTGCTGCGTGGGGTCTGCCAGACAGCGAGACATCGCGAATGGACGTGGGAAGGGGGGGGTGCTGAGGGGGCTGCAGCACCCCCATCTGCGAGGCTCCACTAGCACCCGCACCCCCAAACGCTGTGCACCTACAGTGTAAGCGCGCCACAGTTTCGCCGCTGCAAGGCTCCACTAGCACCCCCCCCCCAGCGCATCACAGTTTCGCCGCTGGGAGAGTGTGTTTGTGAGGAGCTCCACGGATTGGTCCATTTGGGTATGGTCACGTCACTGTACCCAGGAAGAACAAGATAAATCTCCATCGAGGCGTTCTGGGGCAGCATAGACAGGTCTTCTCTGTGTTAGAGTTTTACTCCCTACAGGGTGTACTTTGAGGGTTTGTGACTCTGCAGACCGTTTACATGCAGAAAAAGCTTCATAACACACAAGGGGACGGGTAATAACCGGAAAAGCATGACATGGGACCTTTAAAGCTATTGGTTTTATGTGTGGTCACAGAGCTATAAATTAAAGTTAGTTGATATTCTATTTGAATCCATGACTTTCAATACACCGCCATCTGGTCACAGTCTCATCAAGACCCTTGGTCACTTCTTGGAGAAATGTGAATTAGACATGTGAGCTTTTAGTAAGGATTTCTCTGTTTTCCCTGAACTGCATGATCATTTTTTTGTCTCTTGTGTTTTACAGAGAAATTTGCCTTCAAGCAAGAGGAGAGATTTGATTGTGGAGGTAAAGCTGGTGATGTCTTTGCAAATCAGAGAAGATTCCCCCAGGCACTGTTTTGGGACTTTAAGGTAATCACTTGTGAGGAGTGAAACTAAGCAACACCCAGTTTAGACTCATAATGCAAGAAGTTGTTGTCAGACAAAAAAAATGCTTCCTAGTTTGTTCCTGGGGAGGAATAATCAGACTAGACAGATCCTTATTACTAGTCGAATGATATCCAAGTAACTGTATATGAGGGAATTTTAAACGTTGTTACCTGCGTCTTTTCCCCATTTTAGTTGCATTTGATTGGAGAAAAGGATGACGTACCAGTTCACTTTTGTGATAAATGTGGACTTCCTATCCAGCTATACGGACGGATGGTATGTATTCATTTCTTTACCTGGCCTTCTCAGTAGGCAGTCACTGAAAAAGGTTCATGTGTAACTTTGTCCTCTTACTCCTCAGATCCCCTGCAAACATGTTTTCTGTTATGACTGTGCATTGCTTCATGAGAAGAAAGGAGAGAAGATGTGCCCAGGGTGAGACATTCTCTTTATTTGGTGATATGTTGTGGTTGTGGCGTTTTAAAGTTGTATTATTGTTGGTGTCGCTGTGGCAAATTTCATTCGATTTGATTTATTTCGAACGTGTAAAACAATAATACAAAAAATAATAATGAAATGAGAATTATGATGCTGTACAAACTTAAAGGTGGGGTAGGTAAGTTTGAGAAACCGGCTCGAGATACACTTTTTGTTATATTCCATGGAATGTTCTTAACATCCCGATAGCAATGAATATCTTAAGTGCTTTGACAAAAAATCCATAAAAAAATGTCATCTGTGGAAGCTGTAGTACTGTAAAAAGCACGACCAATCATCTGAGCCGGCCCGGCTAAAATAACTGGATGGCCTACCTGCCTGTCAGCCTTCCATCTGTGCACAAACTTATCTCGTGCCCTCATTGGTCATGTGCGCGTTCGTGTGTGTTGGAGGAGGGGCTCTGTAAGGAAGTGGCAGATTTCTTCCGGCTGTGTATTTTCAAATTCTAGCGCACTCGAGCTGGTTTCTCCAAAATTACCTACCCCACCTTTAAGCAGTAACCAATTGATAAACACAAATATTATTGACTTACAAATGCTATATAAACAAATGAAAGATGGCATTTAGTTCTCTTCAGAGCTACCAACAACTTATTGACACATGTTGACAGTGAAAGATAACAATCTCTTATCTGTGTGAATCTGCGCTGTCCTGTTTTTCATTCTTACCCTGTTGCTGTTAAACTACTGCATTTCCCCACAGGGATTAATAAAGGTCCATTTTATCTTATCTTATAACGATCTGACCCTCTCTCCCCAGCCTCACCATGTTCAGCTGCACAGACCCGGTCCAGCGCATCGAGCAGTGTCTGCGCGGCTCGCTCTACATGTGCAGCGTCGTACCTGGATGTAAACGCACGTACCTGTCCCAGCGAGACCTGCAGGCGCACGTGAACCACCGTCACATGAGGGCCCCCAAATCCTCCTCTGGCCGTCAGGACCCCGTCCACCTGCCCCCGCCTGCCTCCGAAGTCCTGGACCGTTTCCGCGTTCCTCCTCCTCACTTAGCCAAAAACCACGTCCACCTGCCCAACCCTCTGCAGCACGGCAGCCACGACCCTTACAACCAACCACCGCCACCTACCGCTCACGAAGCCCCGCCCGCAAACGCTATTGGACCCGAGACATTCCGCATCGCCACCGTAACGACACGTAAACACAGCAATCTCATCACGGTGCCGATTCACGACGACTCTTCTTCTTCACGTGATGCTGGACCGGGCCCCACGCAGCAGCAGCAGCAGCAGCAGCAGCAGCAGCAGCAGCAGCAGCAGCAGCCGCCCCCCCACCATCACCCGGGGGATTATCCCGGTCAGCCGCCTGTAGGACCCCACTCCCACCACATGATGGCGCCACCACAGCAGCACTTTGGGCCCCCGCCTCCCCCACCACCTCCCATTAATCACCCCATGCAGCATCCTCCCCAGGCATCAGGTACGCCTCACATGGTGTACAACCAGGCCCCTCCTCCTCCCATGTCCTCCGCTCCCCCGCCAATCACCCCTCCACCGGGGCACATCATGGGTCAGATGCCCCCCTATATGAACCACCCTCCCCCGGGACCCCCACCCCAACACAGCGGCCCCCCTGTGAACGCCCCACCGCCTCATCACTACAACCCAAACTCCATGCAGCAGTTTCCAGAGGACCAGGGCACTCTTAGTCCTCCGTTTACCCAGCCAGGAGGCCTCAGTCCTGGGATGTGGCCGGCTCCCAGAGGGCCCCCACCTCCACGAATGCAGGGTCCTCCTCTCCAGGGCCAAATGCCCGGACCCCACCACCCAGATCAGGGTCGCTACCGGCCTTATTATCAGTAAAATAGCCGACTGAATGACCGGGATCCTCCTGCTCCACACCACTCGTCTGATAATGTGATCGTAGACCTCAGGGTTACAGCATACACTGAGAAAACTGAACCGTTGACTTTCATTAAACGTATTAAGTCAACAAATTCCACATTCTTGTATTGGGTTAGAAAAAAAATCAACTCTAACATCATACAATTATGTGTAATTTGTTGTCATATTTAATTTAAAGTTAACGATTGAGTTTTTTCCAATAGGACTTTCATTTTGATATGACATTTGCCCTGAAATCTGTAAATGCTGCACATTTTAGTTGAATAGACTTTGAGGAGAGCAGCAATGTCCTATTTTCTTTTTGTTTTTTAAATAGTGTAAGGTAAATATTTCTGTATATATGTCGGCTGATTTCATGCATTGTGTACATGTACATTGAAAAACGCTTACTGTGTCTCAATAAATTTTTAACAGCAGATTGAAATCTCCTCTCTGCTTGACGACGGTTTTGTTATAACATTTTAACCCTTCAGAAAAAATAAATAAAAGTATTATTATTTTTTCTTTTTTTTATGAGATCCATTTGTGGCGGACGATATTTATTTGTGGCGGCCCACCACAAATAAATCAATGCATGGGAAATACTGGACTGGTTCACATGATCAGCAGTAAAGCATTTCAAAAACAAAACTCACTGAAAACACACAATATTTGTTTTATTGATTATGTTGTGATGAGAAAAACACATTTTATATTACAGTATATTTCCTATATTCTGTGGTCATTTTTGAAAAGATGCTCCTGGAGACGGTTCTTCTAGAGTTTGGTATCTTTTATCTGAAAAAAACAGAGTGTTAGAGTAAAAAAAAAAAGGTATATAAATACTATAAAACACAGGCTTATATCTACTCTTTTAAAATTGTTGCATTGAGACATAATTGGTCCCTTTACATACACTCATCTTAGATATGTAGTTTCAATAAGAGGTTTTAGTCCTGCCTCTTTCAAAATGTTTTGCGTGTAATATTACATTTTCATCACAAACACCTTTGTAATAACTACCATATGTTTTAATGTATGTCAATCAAACTATTTACTACAAAATGCGAGTGTTATTACATAATGAAGTGAAGAAAATGTGAGTTATTACTTAATGATTCGTTACGAGCCTTCTGCTGGACGACATTGGCACTTTCATTGTGATTTTATTTTAATATCACTGGGGGGGGAAACTTCTGAAGCAATTGGAGTCAGGACTCAAAGAGAGACACGAGGAGAGCTGGAGCTTTGATGGCAAACACTGACGGTTTATTTGGAGCTTCGGAGAATTCACAAGACATGTCACGGGCCACGGTCTGACCACACGGTTGAGATGCCACAATCAATTCTGAAGAACCCCCCTGTAGCTCGAGGTTTTAAAGGTCCCATGTCATGCTTTTCTGGTTATTACCCGTCCCCTTGTGTGTTATGAAGGTTTGTCTGCATGTAAACGGTCTGCAGAGTCACAAACCCTCAAAGTACACCCTGTAGCGAGTAAAACTCTAACACAGAAAAGACCTGTCTATGCTGCCCCAGAACGCCTCGTTGGACATTTATCTTTTTCTTCCTGAGTACAGTGACGTGCCCATACCCAAATGAACCCATTGGTCAAAATGGACCAATCCGTGGAGCCGTTAGGTTAAGTCCGCTGATTGGTCCAAATTGACCAATCCGCGGACTTCCTCACACACACACACTCAATCTTTTCTCAGCTGCAGCTCCGCCGATTTCTCCTCCCTGAGACGGCGGGACGCGGCGAGGCTGCGTGTGTGTGTGTGTGTTCGGGCTGGGTTTCGCTGTGTCTCGCTGTCTCGCAGACGGCCACTGGGCTCATAGGGAGGGGGGGGGCAGGAGCTCCAACAAGCCGTTTAGGACAGAGAGTGAATACACATACTATACAGAGATGCTGTATGAGAAACCAATGTGATTTTGGAAAATTGCACAATATAAATCTATTCTAGTAGACCTCAACAATGGAATTATGATCAGTAGAAATGGCCATGACATGGGACCTTTAAGTAGTTCAGAGTGTAATAATCAACATTCTTCATTAGTTAGACTAAACAGCTGAGGACACTGAATCACATTTGTTGTCGCTTATGGCTCGGGGTCATCTACACCCCGAGAAGAATGTGTTCCAGGTGTCCCACAACAACCATAAGTATCTCTGACAGAGAGTTGCCTGGTCATAAACTGGCAACATCAACAATATGCTAGGGCAGCCCCTCCTTAAGGGAGATAACGGCTGCTCAAGGCTGGTCAGCTGCGTCAGAGGGCGAAGGAGGACATGCAGGGCAAATTATTCCCCAACAATCACAATCAAAAACAATGTATTTACACTTATATAAAGAAACAGTAAGCCAATTGCATGCATTTAACTTACATTCATATTACACCATCACTTTAATTTGAATTATTTTGATTTATTAAGGCCATTTGTCTTCCAAACGTCTCATTATTGTATAAAAAAATTATAATACCTTCTATTATAATGAACCTATTAGCTATCCCTAAAGCTAAACGTGACACTCCAGAAACAATTTTATAATATTTACAGCAAAATAGTTTCCTTACCACCGTGCCTCCTTTGTCCTCCTGGTGCTTTTCAAGAACATGCAGCACGGCGTCGTGAAGCGTCGGGAAGAACATGGAGGTCAGGATCTCTTCGTCAAAGAACAGACAGCTGTGCAGTTTCTCCAGGATGTACGCTGTCGACACATGGGAAGCTTGTTACAGACACTTTAACTATGGGATGTTGAGCTTTTTAAGAAACATTCGTGAAACTCACCATCACAAGAGACAACGTAAACGTCTACATCCACACGGACAAATTCTTTGAGTGCCTGTGGAATAAAAAAGCCCGTTATTGTATGAGAAATATTCCAATTACTGCAATTACTTCACACATATACAGTGGATTCTCAATTAATTAGGTGTGGCAAGTTTCTTTTGTCTCGTGGCTTAGTCTGCGTTAACGCTTTTTCATTCATAATATGTCATTGCTTTATAGTATTCAACATATTGTTATTGTACCGTTCTGAGTCCCTTCATAGCGGAGATGTCCAGGAAAGAGACGGCAGAGAAGTCCAGGATCAGGCTGTGGAGATCCACTCTGGGAACGCTGATGTTAGCGGGAAGCTCGGCGTTCCAGTTCACCCGGATGGGAGGGTCATTGAGGTCGGAGGGCCGATCTGAATCCTCCACATTCATGCAGAATAGATCCTTCATGCCTTTCTGTTTGGAAGATTTAGGAAAATGTTAGGAAAATCTCACTGGTCATCGGCTTGAGCTTCAATCTCAGGATCCATGTATTTATTATCCTCTCAAGAATGGAAGTAGACATCATGTGTACTCTGATATTGGACGAGTACATTCAGTATTTTCCCAACAGAAAAGTGAAGCTTTTTGAAAGAAGAAGAAGCACAGTAGTGTATCGTATCTTTGATTTCTCACCTCTGATATGTCGCCATCCTGTTTCCGTAAAAGCTTCTTGATTTTCCTGAGAGCCTTGTTTCTCTTTCTCAACACCCTCAGAGGGTTAAACCCAACCTGGAACATGTTAAAGTGACGATTTATTTAAAAAGAACAAATATATACTATATATCAGAGGTGTGGACTCGAGTCACATGACTTGGACTCGAGTCAGACTGAAAAAAAACACATCGCTTTACCAGCAGAGAGTAAATTGATTAGTACATTATTAATATGACTAATAAAGAGCAGTTTGATCTGCAACTCGATGAGGATCAACTATGCATTTATTGATGTTGTTATTATTGTTATGGTACTCTTTAATGTTTGAGTTCAGGAGCAACTTAACATTTTTCATGATTTGTGTACATTTTATATATTATATTCTGTTTTGGTGAAAGGACATAATGACTTGTCGGTTTTCAAAGTTTAGGCTTGACTTGACTCAGGACTTTAGTGCAAAGACTTGAGACTTACTTGTGACTTGCAAAACAATGACTTGGTCCCACCTCTGCTATATATACTTATATACCGGTACCACTTTACAATAAGACTACCCTTATAAAGGGTTTACGAATAGTTTGTAATTAATTTATTAATTAGGTTGTGAACACTTTATAAATCATTAATAAGCTTTTAAAAAAAAGACATGAGATAAACAGGGCAACTGTGACCTGTTGCTTGCCAAATAGTGAGCCCACATTTATCTGTACTGCTAAGTCTTATATTGGCTACCTAGCTTACTTCGTCTCCTTCATCAGCCAGCATCCTTGGTATCTGTTGTTCACTGAGTTGATTCTCGCTAAGTAGCCAATATACAACCCAATATAAGGCTTAGTCATCTTACCAAATAGTGAGCCCACATGTGTCTGTACTGCTAAGTCTTATTAGAAATGTTAGTAACTCATTAATAAATGGTGATGTGTTTCACACTTTACAATAACGCTCCCCTTTGGCAACTATAAAAGTTAGTAACTCATAAATAAATGGTCATAAGAGATGCCAAGAAACATCAAGATGGATGGGGGGGGGAATCAACTCAGTGAACAACAGATACCAAGGATGCTGGCTGATGAAGAAAACGAAGTAAGCTAGGTAGCCAATATAAGGCTTAGTCATCGTGCCAAATAGTGAGCCTGTGTTGATGTATGCAAACTATGTTAGAACTGGTTTATAAATGGTTCCTATATACCTATATATTGTATATAGTTGTATATATACTTGATGTAAATAATATCCTGCTTATAGTGTGTATATTGTGTTAACAGAAAATTGGCGCTTCATTAGTGTTTTTATTTGTCAGACAGTTTATAGATTTGTTATCTTCACGGTCATCAGTATATTTTCTTACTCTCTAATGCTGGTTTATTTCTATTTCTTTTTTTAGATGTTCACATTTTTAGAATTGTTTATTTCTACTCTTTTCATTTGTTACTATGTGCAATGCCTTGTTTTGTTATTTTATGCTGCTGCAACGTCATTTCCCCCCAAATTGGGATTAATAAAGTAGATCTTATCATATCTTATATAATATAAGTGAAGTATAGGATGGAGAAGTGTGTGTCGTACGTACAGCTTCCACCAACTTGTCCCTGAAGAACTCGATATTAGCGAAGAAGATAGGCGAGGGGATCCTGAAGATCTTTACTCCGTTTGGTTCGAATATCTGAGAGGAGATACAGTGTGATGAATAACTGATTCTGAAAGTGTCTAAAAGTGTTTATTGGATAGCATTTACTCACATCCAGGTAATCTTTGCGGTCTTTGTACAGGTTTGTCCCCGAGATGTTAACCAAGACAGAGCAGCGCGGGCTGGAAAGACATGGAGAAGAACATGATACAAATACATAAATTATTATATATCTTATTTTAGAAAATTCACATTGTCATTGAAGGAGTTCTGCTGGTTAGAGTTTTTGCTTGTATATGCTTCTTTTACGTGCTTCGTAAGTAGTTAATAGTTTGACAATTGTAATACTTGTAAGTGTCTCTGTGCAATATATAACTTACCTGGTATCTAGCTTCTACCACAATAACTTCTACATGTTACACTTCATTTATATTATAAAATACTGTCGCTGCTGCTTTTCTACCTTCATGTGTACTTTGTGAATTGTAATAACTAACGTGCATGCCCTTTAATCTAATACTGCTTTATTTGTTGTCTCTATCTCTACTTTGGCTGTAACAACATACATTTACGAATAAAGGAATTCTGATTCTGGTTCTGAATTATTGTGTGTTACTTTGTGGTGAAGATGTGATTTCTCATCCACTGCAGTACATCTGTGTTTTAGTTATCAGAGGAATAACTTGTGACGTTACAATTGAGTCCTGAAGACGACAGTGAGCAGCTCCAACCCCAATCCCACCGCCAGACCGATATCCAGACCCAGCAGGATGGCACCCAGACACGTCCCGACCCAAACCACCTGCACACGACCAGAGAGGGCAGAAGTACACACATCCTTTACTCAAGTAGAAGTACAGATACTCGTGTTTAAAAATACTCTGGTAAAAGTAGAAGTACTGACTAAACTTCTTTACTCAAGTAAAAGTAAAGAGGGCTTTGAAATGTACTTCAGTAAAAAGTACCCATAACTAGCAGCTGTTTTAAAGAGTACCTGACCTCCCTTTATATTAATAGAACAATAATGTCATTGTTAGCTAATGAATGTTTCCATGCTGAACAACGGCAACATGACAACGTTTTCATTGGTCCCTCTTCTTTAGAGAAGACCAGGAAATGATGGATACACGGATCGTGTTCAAATCAATAGGCACGCAATGACTCTAAATAATAATGATCACGCCACCAAACACACATTCAAACTAAAGGAACCAGCCTGTTTGGGAAATGTAAGAAGTAGAAAGTACAGGTATTTGGGTTCAACATGTAAGAAGTAGAAAGTACAGGTATTTGTGTTCAACATGTAAGAAGTAGAAAGTACAGGTATTTGGGTTCAACATGTAAGAAGTAGAAAGTACAGGTATTTGTGTTCAACATGTAAGAAGTAGAAAGTACAGGTATTTGTGTTCAACATGTAAGAAGTAGAAAGTACAGGTATTTGTGTTCAAAATGTAAGAAGTAGAAAGTACAGGTATTTGTGTTCAACATGTAAGAAGTAGAAAGTAAAAAGTCGTCAGAAAAATAAGTAGTGGAGTAAAGTACTGATACCAGATAAATGTACTAAAGTACAAAATATTCGCACTCCACTACTTCCCACCTCTGCAGACAACACATGAGATTAAAAGACAATAATCTGGGAAATAAAGTAAATAAAAACAAAACATGTGGCTGTGAGCTACAAGACTTTGGAATCACTTACACACTCCAGTTTGTCCTTCCTCAACAAGTACGGGATTTCTCTGAACTGCATCAGCATGCCCTTCAGGTTGACGATCACCAAAGCACCCAGGACAGACTGCCAAATATTAAAAAGGACATATTATCTTCATTTTCAGGTGTATATCAGTATTTAGTGTCTCTACTTTAAAGAGTCCTCTCCTGCTGATGTTCAGGTGTATATCAGTATGTAGTGTCTCTACTTTAAAGAGTCCTCTCCTGCTGATGTTCAGGTGTATATCAGTATGTAGTGTCTCTACTTTAAAGAGTCCTCTCCTGCTGATGTTCAGGTGTATATCAGTATGTAGTGTCTCTACTTTAAAGAGTCCTCTCCTGCTGATGTTCAGGTGTATATCAGTATGTAGTGTCTCTACTTTAAAGAGTCCTCTCCTGCTGATGTTCAGGTGTATATCAGTATGTAGTGTCTCTACTTTAAAGAGTCCTCTCCTGCTGATGTTCAGGTGTATATCAGTATGTAGTGTCTCTACTTTAAAGAGTCCTCTCCTGCTGATGTTCAGGTGTATATCAGTATGTAGTGTCTCTACTTTAAAGAGTCCTCTCCTGCTGATGTTCAGGTGTATATCAGTATGTAGTGTCTCCACTTTAAAGAGTCCTCTCCTGCTGATGTTCAGGTGTATATCAGTATGTAGTGTCTCTACTTTAAAGAGTCCTCTCCTGCTGATGTTCAGGTGTATATCAGTATGTAGTGTCTCTACTTTAAAGAGTCCTCTCCTGCTGATGTTCAGGTGTATATCAGTATGTAGTGTCTCTACTTTAAAGAGTCCTCTCCTGCTGATGTTCAGGTGTATATCAGTATGTAGTGTCTCTACTTTAAAGAGTCCTCTCCTGCTGATGTTCAGGTGTATATCAGTATGTAGTGTCTCTACTTTAAAGAGTCCTCTCCTGCTGATGTTCAGGTGTATATCAGTATGTAGTGTCTCTACTTTAAAGAGTCCTCTCCTGCTGATGTTCAGGTGTATATCAGTATGTAGTGTCTCTACTTTAAAGAGTCCTCTCCTGCTGATGTTCAGGTGTATATCAGTATGTAGTGTCTCTACTTTAAAGAGTCCTCTCCTGCTGATGTTCAGGTGTATATCAGTATGTAGTGTCTCTACTTTAAAGAGTCCTCTCCTGCTGATGTTCAGGTGTATATCAGTATGTAGTGTCTCTACTTTAAAGAGTCCTCTCCTGCTGATGTTCAGGTGTATATCAGTATGTAGTGTCTCTACTTTAAAGAGTCCTCTCCTGCTGATGTTCAGGTGTATATCAGTATGTAGTGTCTCCTACTTTAAAGAGTCCTCTCCTGCTGATGTTCAGGTGTATATCAGTATGTAGTGTCTCCTACTTTAAAGAGTCCTCTCCTGCTGATGTTCAGGTGTATATCAGTATGTAGTGTCTCTACTTTAAAGAGTCCTCTCCTGCTGATGTTCAGGTGTATATCAGTATGTAGTGTCTCTACTTTAAAGAGTCCTCTCCTGCTGATGTTCAGGTGTATATCAGTATGTAGTGTCTCTACTTTAAAGAGTCCTCTCCTGCTGATGTTCAGGTGTATATCAGTATGTAGTGTCTCTACTTTAAAGAGTCCTCTCCTGCTGATGTTCAGGTGTATATCAGTATGTAGTGTCTCTACTTTAAAGAGTCCTCTCCTGCTGATGTTCAGGTGTATATCAGTATGTAGTGTCTCTACTTTAAAGAGTCCTCTCCTGCTGATGTTCAGGTGTATATCAGTATGTAGTGTCTCTACTTTAAAGAGTCCTCTCCTGCTGATGTTCAGGTGTATATCAGTATGTAGTGTCTCCACTTTAAAGAGTCCTCTCCTGCTGATGTTCAGGTGTATATCAGTATGTAGTGTCTCTACTTTAAAGAGTCCTCTCCTGCTGATGTTCAGGTGTATATCAGTATGTAGTGTCTCTACTTTAAAGAGTCCTCTCCTGCTGATGTTCAGGTGTATATCAGTATGTAGTGTCTCTACTTTAAAGAGTCCTCTCCTGCTGATGTTCAGGTGTATATCAGTATGTAGTGTCTCTACTTTAAAGAGTCCTCTCCTGTTGATGTTCAGGTGTATATCAGTATGTAGTGTCTCTACTTTAAAGAGTCCTCTCCTGCTGATGTTCAGGTGTATATCAGTATGTAGTGTCTCCACTTTAAAGAGTCCTCTCCTGCTGATGTTCAGGTGTATATCAGTATGTAGTGTCTCCACTTTAAAGAGTCCTCTCCTGCTGATGTTCAGGTGTATGTCAGTATGTAGTGTCTCTACTTTAAAGAGTCCTCTCCTGCTGATGTTCAGGTGTATATCAGTATGTAGTGTCTCTACTTTAAAGAGTCCTCTCCTGCTGATGTTCAGGTGTATATCAGTATGTAGTGTCTCTACTTTAAAGAGTCCTCTCCTGCTGATGTTCAGGTGTATATCAGTATGTAGTGTCTCCACTTTAAAGAGTCCTCTCCTGCTGATGTTCAGGTGTATATCAGTATGTAGTGTCTCCACTTTAAAGAGTCCTCTCCTGCTGATGTTCAGGTGTATGTCAGTATGTAGTGTCTCTACTTTAAAGAGTCCTCTCCTGCTGATGTTCAGGTGTATATCAGTATGTAGTGTCTCTACTTTAAAGAGTCCTCTCCTGCTGATGTTCAGGTGTATATCAGTATGTAGTGTCTCCACTTTAAAGAGTCCTCTCCTGCTGATGTTCAGGTGTATATGAGTATGTAGTGTCTCCACTTTAAAGAGTCCTCACCTGATGATGTTCAGGTGTATATCAGTATGTAGTGTCTCTGGGACATGTCTCCATGCTTTAATGTTCAAAAAGCTCTTTATTTTTCTCATACTGTCTGTGCTGCAGCACCTCTTTTCACCCTCTGTCTGAAACCAGAGCCCAGTGTGCTCTGATTGGTTAGCTGGCCGGCTCTGTTGTGATTGGTCAACCTGCTTAGAGATGTCCCGCCCCCTTAGCCTATCACGTACAATGTGTTGGAGCGCTAGCAAATAGAAACACGAGTGTTACATAGTGATGTCACGGATGTAAACAAAGGAGTCCAATGGAGATGTTACGGGAAAGAGAAAACCCCAAAAGCATAATAGGCCTCTTTAAGGGTTTGTGAACAAATATATAGATAAAGTAAATATAGCACAATCAGAGCTGAGCTTACCCACAAATTTGAATCCATTGATTTCTATACAAAAACCCTTAATGTTATTTCCTGGCTTTTCCTGAGGTTAATTCTTAAGATGTCAAAATAAGGAAACGTCCTGATAATATATAATAATAGATAATGAAATAATTAATTTGAGATCACAAAAACAATGTTTCATAAATAAAAAATCGAAGTATCTCTGAACAACATTTGTTATTTAAAAAATAATGACATAAATGACATCAAATGAATGTGTTATCATGGCTAAACAGAGGGTAATACAGTCTTCAGGGTTCATACACTTTTTCACCAATGACTTCTCCATGACCTTTACCAAAACAATTACTCTTTCTCAGCGGTACTCACTGAAATTTTTTTAATTTAACATGGTGAGCTGGAAAATAAGGTCTGCATATGAAACATGTTGTGCCTATCTAAAACAAATCAAATAGTCGGCTTACTAGCTCCTACAGACTAAAGCCACTGTAGACCAGAGGGCGTGATTGTCAAAATCTCTCACCAGCAAAATACCTCGTCAGTTAAAGGGGACCTATCATGCAAAATGCACTTTTGTACGTCTTTTATACATGAATATGTGTCCCCGGTGTTCCAGGGAACTCACCAAGTGTCAGAAAACACAACCCTCTCTATTTTCCTCCATACCCAAATCTCTAAAAAAGGGGCTGCAACGGATCTGATAAAAACTGATCCAGATTTGAACACTGTCCTGACGTCAGGACAGTGGCGCTACGGCTATTGGGCCAACTCCACCAATCAGGAGGAGACAGCCACGGCCATTGCCGTTCGAAAGCGCTGGAGACGCTGTAGTACATATGCCAGGCCAGTAGGTGGTGCTGTTCTCACAGAATCAGCCCTTGCAAAAACAGAGCTAGAAATTGTCAAATTGAGCAAAATGAGGCATGGCTAAAATGCATGATCTGTTTGGTATTTTGAAAAAGAAAAAGTATAAATATGCCTTATATAGGTATGGTCCTACACTATATTATTAAAATATAGCATGATAGGTCCACTTTAAATGCCATTTTACGTTTCATTACTATACGATACAGTATTTATTATCGTTATAGTATTACTATTTCGGCGATTAGATCAAATATAAATTATATTTGATGCAACTTTGGTTACATTTCCATGACTTTTCCAAAAAATATTGTTTTCCATAACTTTTCCAGGGCCTGGAATTTGCATTTTGAATTTCCATGACTTTTCCAGGTTTTTAATGACCGTAGGAACCCTGAGTCTTTAAATGATAGTAGTTAGGGTCTTCATTCATTTACATATTGTCTGAAACCTTTATTTTATTCCTCACCCTGGGAAGAGGCTCCAGCAGGAAGCCGAGCGCCATAGTCACAATCATGGCCATCATGGCAGAGATCAGACCTGCAATCTGCATTTATAAAAACAAGTTAATCTTTAATTTCATCGTGCAAATGAAGGATTAATTTACAATGTCTATAAACCAGATTGTAGAGCGACATTACAATACCTCTTTTCGGAGACAATAAAATGCTACTGTACGGTTGTAAACATTTGTGAGTGTAGTTTTCTGACCTGTGTTTTTCCTCCTGAGCTTTCCTGCACGGCCGTCCTGGAGAGAGCGGTGCTGGCTGCAAACGACTTGAAGCTCGCACCAAACATGTTGCTCACTCCAAATGCAATGAGTTCCTGGGATCAAGGAACCATAAAGACTTTAGTTACCTCTCTGACAAAATGCAACACATGAAAGCACCAGGTTTGGGGAGTAACAGATTACATGTAATGTAATCAGGATACAAAAAAGGTAACCTAAGAAATTGGGGATAGCTAGCAGATAACAATGTTAGTAAAAACCTGTAAAGCACATGTGTCAAACTCAAGGCCCGGGGGCCAAATCAGGCCCGTGGTGGATTTAATTTCGGCCTGCAGGATAATTTTTAATTACTATTAGATCTGGCCCGCCGGTATATTGCACGCACACCTTCACTCAATCCTGAGGGTCTCCTCAGCTCAGAGCCTGACCCCAAACATTGATGACCTTGCACCCAAGATGAGATGCCAAGTATCTGGCTTGAACTAGCATCACAGAGCAGCACACTGAGTTTACATGGATGTTTCCTTCTGCACTTTCTTTCTTGAGACAACAGGGCATGTTTGGTTTGTTCTTTGAGGGAAATAGTTTTTTTGAAGCTGTTGTTGGCCTGTGGAGAAATGTAATCATAAGAAATGACTCTGGAAAAGCTGCAGATAGAGCCATAAGAAATGAATGCAACTGATTATTTAATGTTTAATGTTGTTTTTATAGGCAATAATTTAAGCTTTGTTAGTTCCAGGTTTAATATGTGCAATAAGTTCATTTCAATAAGTTTTGCAATAAACATTGAACCAGTCCGGCCCTCGACTAGTACCCATTTTTTAATGTTGGCCCACTGTGTATTTGAGTTTGACACCCCTGTTGTAAAAGGATCAGATGTTCTCTCTTCTCTGTGAGCTGTTCTGTTCTGTAGGATAATACTTTAAGTGTGAATCTATACGCCTACTGCCTGAATCTGCTTTATGGTTTCCACTTTCTTTGCTTCATTTGTTCTGTTTTTAATTCAGCAGGTCAACCTATATGTTCATAAAATAGTGTGTGTGAGCTTAACTGTGTGTGTTAAACTAAAACGGAGCATTTTCTGCTTTTTTAAACTGTAGTATGTGCTCATGTGTTTCATTGTTGGTGTATAGGCTACTGCCTGAATATGCTTCATTAAGGCAGGTTTTCCTATGAATAAAATAATTTCTGATCCTAAATATATTGTTTTTTCTTGTCTAAGGTCACATTGTCCTGTTGTCTAATGGCGCATTTCCACCACATGGTCGGCCTCGGCCACGCTCGGTACTGCTTGGCCGCGTTGGGCCTTAACAGGGCCGGCTCACTTCATGCTGCGCTTCCATTACAGTTTAGGAACTGGGGTAGTTACTATAGTAACGCAGTGTAGGCGGAGCCGTGACGTCATCTTCAATGAGAACCCCAGAAAAACAACACAGCCGTTAGCTGTTAGCACTCAGAGCTCACAGCTCCTTATATATGTTCAGAAACTAGACAAAAGTTAAACAAGTACACACCACAGACTGCCTGTGTCATGGTGAATACAGTCGCTGCTTTATTTATGTCTGTATAGGCCGTTGTTGTGAGTGTGGATGGTCGGAGCATATACTGCGTTAGCTTAGCCAATCTCCATTTAGAAAACACGCATTTTAAAAGGTTTTTCGCCTGCCGTCTGTCTGCAAACTTGCCAAAGCATTAATTCATGGTTTTTACTAACCGGTATCAGTATGTTGTTACTTCGGCATCATTTTGAAACGTGTATTACAATTAAATCACGGTCAAATATGTCCATCTTGTTGTAGTTGTAGCCTCCTTGCCAGCGCTCCTCTCTCTAGTTTAGCATACTCAGCCCGACTCAGCCCTGTTTGTTGGCCCCGATAGAACCACAATTTTGTCGGGCCAGAAAAGAGGTGAAAAAGTGGCCCCGGGCCGGGCCGGGCCGTAACTAGGCCTAGTGGAAGCGCAACCAAAAACGGGCACGGCACGACACGGCACGCTTAAACCGCGCTCCGCGCCATGGTGGAAATGCGCCATAAGAGACTTAAGAAAAACATCCTATTTATATTTCTTATTTTTTGTATTTTTTGCATTGCACATTTGATATTGAGGTTATCCAAAAGAAACGGAGAGTAATCAGGTTACATTACTTTTATTTTGGTACTCAGATTAGGTTACATTTATTTACAGAATGTAGTGCTAGTGACCCGGCGCCAGAACAAATCTACAGAGAGGGTTTATGATTTTCATGGGAGGGCACACAAAACCGTCATGTGCCGCGGCCAGTGGCGGCGCCAGAGATTTTCTTTTGGGGGTGCTGTGGGGTCGCTTGACGTTTCACAGAGGGTGCTCAAACATGTAGGGTTTCCCATTAATGTCCCGGCGCTACAGTGGAATGTTCTACTGCAACAATCACCACGCCAATACACAGTGTACCCGCGACTGTTACAATGAAGGCTCGATAATCAGCTCACGGCATATAGGTATAGGCAGGGGTAAAGTGCTATTTTTTTACAAGTGGGGGGTGGACCTAAGCTCCTAAGATTTTTTTTGTAATATTGAAGTTAAAAGCATCAATCTGGTGCACTTTGAGAGCAACATGAAGAGATCTATGGATACATCTCTCAACACCCATATGAAACAGAACTGTAAACAGATTTACTTTTTCTTTATGGATATTTTACAAATCACTCTCCTTTTAAACTGTATTCTTGTTTTACTGTCATATAGTATTTCATACCTGTTTTTCATTTATTAATCTTATATTACTATCTGACATCACATACATCGTAGCATTAAAGTTCACAGTTTATTTATAATTAAATAAATACAAATAAATATATTTTTAATTTTTATAAATAATACAAAACGTGTTTATTGGGGGAGGGCAGGAATGTCAAATGGGAGGGCCCTCCCACGGCGCCGGGTCTGCGACCGGCCCACATCCCGTCCCGAACGTCCCGATGGCCAGTCCGCCACTGGTAACAAATTCACTTTTTTTCTGCCATCAGAGCCAGGAATGACCACAAAAAACTCACCTGGTTTCCATCGATGGTGTAGTCGTGTTTGATGGAGTAGACTTTGGCCACAGAGAAGGCAACAGCAAAGCCCACGATGGCGATGGGAAAAGCTTCAACTGCACTCTCCTGAAATACTTCAATATTTGGCGCAATAGGAGACTCATACCTGGAAATAAAACAGTGTTTAATCGTGCATTCATAGGATCTATAGCTCAATACTGAGAAACCTCAGGGAGAGCAACAGAGGAGGGATCCCTCTCCCAGGACGGACAGACGTGCAATAGATGCCGTGTGTAAATCGAAGAGATAATACATTTACAGCATAGGTAGACCAAATGTTTGGAAATGCATGTGTCTATAATAAGAAGATGAATCCACGAGGATGTCACATTTATAGAGACTTTAAGACTGAATGATTGTACTTTTTACACTACTACACTTATTTTAAAGCTGTGGTTACATTGTTTCATTAGGTCATAAAATACATTTTATTTTAAACAATTAAACAGTGGTTTCCAACCTTTGGAGCTTCTGACTCTTTATACAAAATAAATCAAGTTGTGGGCGCTTGTCTTGTTCCAGTAGTGTACCTCAACATTTTCCAATAGTTTTTCATTACATAACCTTTAAATTAGGTAAATAATTCAATATTTCACAAAATATTAAAGAAAGGTCAATTAAATTATGTACATTTGTGAGAAGTTAGTCTTTTCTTCATTTTTCTTATATTTATCATCTTATGACCTCTCTCAGATTTATCTTGTGAACTTTTAAAAACATCTTATTAGGTCAACCATCTTCAAACTAAATTATAATTCTGTTACATAGGTTCATCAGCATTACAAAACTATTACTATTACCAAACATAGAAATCAGCCAGCTTGATTTTGACTTATAATATCACTGATGACGTGCAAAACTTACCCACTAACCATTTTGCCAACAACTTCAACATCATATCTCGTCTCGAAGTTGAAGCCATAGGAAACACCGCAAGCTACGATAGTCTGTGAGAGCAAAGAACTCTTCAATCCCAGCTAGCTTGAACACATCAACGTTGTTATACTTTGGTAGTGATGTAAACAGGATTTGTAGTTCATAAGATAGTCTCCTCTCACCATGATAACCTCTATGGGGATGGGAACAGGAAGCCTGGCTTTGTATCGGTCGTTCAGCTCCTTCACGATGAAAACCACCACCATGATCACGATGGACATCACCAGGTCGCAGATGTTGGTGGAGGTGATCTGGACAAAGACCTTCTCCAGGGTCTGTGCAAAAGAAGTGAAAACTCTGCATTTGAGCATGATTACAACATTCTCTTTCCAGGCGCACATCAAATCTGTTACCAAATCCGCCTTCTACCATCTCAAAAACATTGCCAGACTCCGGCCTTCACTCTCTGACTCTGTGTCAGAAACACTTGTACACGCCTTCATCACGTCCCGTCTGGACTACTGCAATGGAGTCCTGTCCGGGGTTCCCAGCAAAACCCTGGACAGGCTCCAATACGTCCAGAACTCTGCCGCCAGGCTTCTCACCCGCACCAAGCCATGGCAACATATCACCCCCAACCTCATCCACCTCCACTGGCTGCCGGTCAAGTCCCGGATTCAGTACAAAACACTCCTCCTCACGTACAAGTCCCTCCATACCCTCGCCCCCCAGTACTTATCGAACCTCCTCCATCCCTACACCCCTTCTCGGAGTCTGCGGTCCTCAGACACGGGCCTGCTCTCCATCCCCCGCTCTCGCCTCCGAGCTGTTGGTGACAGGGCGTTCAGTGTTGCGGCCCCCACCCTCTGGAATGCACTTCCTGCCGAGATCCGTAATGCTGCCTCCCTGGACATCTTCAAATCATCTCTAAAAACTCACCTGTTCACCCTGGCCCTCGGGCCCGAGCCCTTTCTTGGTCCTCCGGCTTCCTTTCTTTTTTGTTTGTCCACCATGTACAGCGACCTTGGGTCCCTTGAAAGGCGCTATATAAATATCATTTATTATTATTATTATTAGTTTAATTGTGTAATTTGGACTCTGGGCCATATCTCACTTTAATTAAATCGACAGCCTGCTGGTTTGAACGTCACATGAAAAGCTGCACTACATAAATATTATGCATTTCAAATTCTGTAGAGGTTTTCCTTCAGCTTTCACTATTACATATTCCCATGGTTTCATTTAGATATCAGCATACTGCAGAAGGTGGTCTGTAAACATATCCATTACTGCTTTACAGTCAATGTATGTTGTCCTGAATGCATGTGCATAATCGTATTAGAGCTATGTCAAGAAGTAAGACAGAAAGAAAGACATATTATGAAGCTTAGCAATCTGAAATGTGTATCTCTACATGTTCATGAGTCTAGCCGTAGAAATTAGTATACATTCTTTCACTCAAAACACTGACATTTGTGGAGTTTTGTTTCCTCTCACAACTGTCTGTGTGTTTAAAGCTATAGTTTCTCTCGTCTTTTCTCTAATTTCTGTCTGAATGATTAAAAACAGTAGGGTTGGTCCATCTTTGCTAGTTTGAAAAACAAGAAATGATCATCAATGATGCATCCTTGACTTACATATATGAGAGCGAGTGGACCGTTGATGCCTGGAACGGTTAACCCCAACACAAACTTGAGCTGGGACACCAGGATGTGGACGGCAGCGGCTGTGGTGAAGCCGGACACCAGAGTATCGGACAGGTACCTGACGATGAAGCCCACCTGGAGGACACCCATGGCAAGCTGGGTGAAAGAACGAGGGGAAAATAAGCTTTATTTCGAAAATTGGTGTCAGAATCTGTCTGTGTTTTCCTGTTTTATTTTGAAATGTCACGATCTGTTTGTGTTTTATTTTGAAAGCTGTTCACCCCTTGTGTTATGTCTGATTTTACTTCCTGTCTCTGAGGTTTCCCTCCTGTTTGATTACCTGATTCTGTTCACCTGGTGTGTTTTTCCTGCCCTGCCCAGCTGTGTCTTCTTCCTTGTGATTAGTTCTGCATGTGTTTAAGTTCTGGTTTTCTGTTGGATCCCTAATTTTTTTACACATGGGAGAGTTATGGTCTGTTTGCTGTATATGTTTTCAACCTTGACTTACGGTATTTTAATGTTAACAAAGTGTTCCAACCTGCTCTGCTCAACCATGACAAAGGGTGTGGTATTGTTTGAAAAATATCACTCGTCACCGGCTTGAGCTTCAATCTCAGGATTCATGTATTTATGATCCTCTCAAGAATGGAAGTAGTCATCACATACAGAGCATTTGGTACTGAACTATGCTGATATACAAGAGCGGGAGTTACACAGTCACAAGATGGAGGAATACCGGGTCTTGTAGGTAATCATACATCCTGTCATGTTCAAAATACTGAGTTTTTTTCTCGAAATGTTGGCTTTTTTCTGAAAATCAAAAAATTCTGACTTTTCCCCAAAATTCAGATTTTTTTCAGAAAATTTGCTTTTTTTCTGAAAATCACAAATTATTACTTTCTCTCAAAATTATTACTTTTTCAAAACATTCTGACTTTTTCTCAAAATTCATACATCCTGTCATGTACACAGCTACAGTTGGGATACCTTTGTTATCATGTGTACTCTCATATTGGAAGAGTACATTCAGTATTTTCCCAACAGGTATGAAGACAGATGTACCTGGAAAATCCCCATGAGGAAGGTCACAGAAGAGGCCACCAGGACTCTCTGCTGGTCCTGGGTCAAACCATCAAAACCAGTGATGTTTGCCGGTTGTCCGACTTCTGGAACAAGGCGGGTCACCACCGCTCCCAACATCAGACTCAGGACTGGGAAGGAGCCTGCAGGAAGGTGTGTGTTGAGGTGAGGAAGGTGTGTGTGTTGATGTGTTGAGATAAGATTGGGTGTAATATCACACCCAATCTTATCTCAACACATCTTGTTTAAAAAAGATAAGGCTGACAAGTGATGTGTCTGATTTCATAAAAGTGTTATTACTTGGAGGCCTTTAGGGACAGTTTATCAAAAATTATGATAGGGGAATTGTGATAATAAAGAGTTTAGATTGAAACACTTTGGCATAGTTACTTATCCTATTTCCAAGAATTTCCAGCTTAAAAGTGATTGAAAGTCAAGATAAGTTGTTATAGAGCAAATGTATGCAACAATATTATAGCCTAAGCATTGCATGACTTACCTACGGAAATATGTCTGGAAGTACCGAGGAAGAAGTATGTTAGCATGGGGAAGAAAGCTGTGAAGAGGCCGTAGCTGGGAGGCAGTGAAGCCAGCAGAGAGAAGGCCATACCTGGGTGAGACCACAGCAAAACAACAAACACAGAATAAATAATTATGGATATTTTGCATTTAAAAAATCTCTGAAAGAAATCTCTAAAAAGCACGTTTTTCGGCACTAAACCGGGTAAAGATTTACAAAATTGCTACTAAATTACCAAAATAAGCTAATTGTTGTTGCTAAGCTAACCAATACTGTAGATTACATTTGCAGACATTTAACCACAAAAACAAGTGTTAGCCATGCTAGCAGCTCTTGTTGTTGCTTACTGTAGCTTAATGCTACGTCAACATGCTAACACATTAGTTTAGCAGATTTTGACCGTGTACAATGCCTTAGTTTTCTCTAGCTAGCATGCTAATTAGCATAATACACAGTACAGCTGAGGCTGATGCAAGTATCATACATTTGGCAGGAATTTGTTCATTGCTGTTTGAAATGTTGACCTTGAGGAATAACAAGGAAGTGATCAACGCTTTTAAACATCATTCTGGGAATGGGAGTGTCCGTATTAAAAAAGACAAATACAACAAAAAGATTTTTATGATAATTTGGCAACTGACCAACATTGATAGTTCACAGTTTATGGTGTGAACTTCCTTTGCAGCTGCCACTCCTTTATATCCCTGTCTGGGATCAATAAAGTGTTATCTTAAGCCCCTTTTTTCAATTACATCAGTGAATTCAGTTGCAGCCGCATTTGAATACAACAATGTCGAAAATAAGTCATATTTAAAAAAAGGAAATAAACTACACATGAGTGTCATATTTATACTTAGACATGCATATGCCCTGTTTTTCATTCAGCAATTACCATATTTAGGGCAATATTCTGGGACAATGACACTTCTGTGTCGATCGTACAGTACAGTGTGGTCAGTCGATGCTTATACTGGATATAAAAAGTGCTTTACATGGATTAAAAACAAGCTGTTAAGGCACCAGAACATCAGGTCAACCAAATGGATGTAGAGTTAAATCTAGTAGTGGCATTATTAGTGAATGGCTTTAATAAAGAGATTAGTTTTAAGAAATGATTCAAAAGATGTCTCTGATTCTGCTAGTCTTGACATATCACACAATGTGTATGTCAACATTTTTATAATGGAAGCACAAATCTTAAGCATATGCCCTGTTTTTCATCCAGAAATCAACATTTTAAGGGCAATATTCTGTGAAAATGCCACTTCTGTGTCGACCGTACAAACCGTGTCAACATGTTTCCAATGCAATACAATACAGCTTTATTTATAGAGCACTTTAAACCTCCAGACCAAAGTGCTGTACAGTCAGTCAAATAAACAAAACAAAACATACAAAAAATAACACAGCACAGCTCACACACCATAATACAAGTAAAAACAATAGAGAATTTAAAAGCAATAAAAGCAACGCTCTAAAAGATGTTAATACGCTAAGGAGAAGAGGTGGGTTTTAAGAAGCGATTTAAAAGCAGACAGTGTGGCGGCCTGTCTGATGTGCATGGGCAGATTGTTCCACAGTGTGGCGGCCTGTCTGATGTGCATGGGCAGATCGTTCCACAGTGCGAGAGCCTGTCTGATGTGCATGGGCAGATCGTTCCACAGTGTGGAGGCCTGTCTGATGTGCATGGGCAGATCGTTCCACAGTGCGAGAGCCTGTCTGATGTGCATGGGCAGATCGTTCCACAGTGTGCGAGAGCCTGTCTGATGTGCATGGGCAGATCGTTCCACAGTGTGGAGGCCTGTCTGATGTGCATGGGCAGATCGTTCCACAGTGTGGGAGCCTGTCTGATGTGCATGGAGAGATCGTTCCACAGTGTGGGAGCCTGTCTGATGTGCATGGAGAGATCGTTCCACAGTGTGGGAGCCTGTCTGATGTGCATGGAGAGATCGTTCCACAGTGTGGGAGCCTGTCTGATGTGCATGGAGAGATTGTTCCACAGTGTGGAGGCCTGTCTGATGTGCATGGAGAGATCGTTCCACAGTGTGGAGGCCTGTCTGATGTGCATGGGCAGATCGTTCCACAGTGTGGGAGCCTGTCTGATGTGCATGGAGAGATCGTTCCACAGTGTGGGAGCCTGTCTGATGTGCATGGGCAGATCGTTCCACAGTGTGGGAGCCTGTCTGATATGCATGGGCAGATCGTTCCACAGTGTGGGAGCCTGTCTGATGTGCATGGGCAGATTGTTCCACAGTGTGGGAGCCGCTACAGAGAAGCAACGGCCCCCTCTGAGCTTTGACTTGGTTCTGGGCACATTCAGGAGCAGTTGATCTGCTGACCTGAGAGGGCGGGTGGGCATGTAAGGGTGTAGCAGCTCAGAAAGATATGGTGGGGTCATGCCATTTAGGGATTTAAAAGCAAATAAAAGGATTTTGAAATGAATCCTAAAATGTATTGGCAGCCAGTGGAGCGAAGCCAAAATGGGGGAAATGTGGTCATATTTCCGTGTGCCAGTTAAAAGCCTTGCACCAGCTGCAGACGAGCGAGGGAGGACCCACTGACCCCCATGTAGAGAGAGTTACAGTAATCCAGCCGAGTGGTGACAAAGGCGTGGATTACTGTCTCAAACTGCTGTCTGGAGAGAAAAGGTTTTATGTTGGCTAGCTGACTCAGGTGATAAAAGCTCGTTTTTACCACCGATTTAATCTGACTCAAGTTTTAGTTCAGGGTCCATTTTAATGCCAAGGTTCGTAATGGTGGGCTTGGTGTACTGAGCCAAGGAACCCAGGTCTACAGAATTGATGCCAGTGGTGCCACCAAAAACCATTACTTCTGTTTTTCCTTCATTCAGTTTTAGGAAGTTGCACGCCATCCAGGCCTTTAAGTCCTCCAGAGTCTAGACACTTTAGCAGTGGGCTGATTGAGTAACCCTCCTTCTTTTTTAGTGGGACATAAATCTGGCTATCATCAGCATAGCAGTGTAATGCGATGCCGTGCTTTCTAAGTATGGACCCAAGAGGGAGCAAATAGAGGGAGAATAGCAGGGGGCCTAATACTGAGCCCTGTGGGAGCCCATACAGGAGTGGAGCAGAGGATGACTCGGAGTCACCAAGGCTGACAGAGAAAGTTCTGTCCTTCAGATATGACCTGAACCATTCCAGGGCTTTCCCCTCAATGCCCACCCACTGCTCCAAGCGAGAAATCAGGATGTGATGGTCGACTGTATCGAAAGCAGCAGTTAAATCAATAAGTAGAAGCACAACGCAGTCGAGTCAGTAGATAAAAGGATGTCATTAAAAACTCTTAAAAGCGCTGTTTCAGTGCTGTGCATATAGTTTTAAAACCGGATTGGAAAACCTCACCTTGCATAATGGCCACCATTCCAGTGCTGATCCCAGAAACGACATCTCCCAGCAGCCACTCTCTAACTCTGTAGATCCTCATCCAGCCAATGATGGGCAGAAAAGAGAGAACTGCATTCTTGGCTCGTTTTGAGTCACAGCTGGATTTCACAGAAAGACAGAGCATTTTCCTTAGACACAATTTCATCAAATCCTATATTTATTATTAGTTTTATTCCACTCTTGGCAATTATTATAAAACACAAACATGTATGCTGATTTTTTCAAGGAAAGAGAGTCTTATTTGACCCATTACTCAAAATAGATTGTCTGTCAATAACAGCTGCTTACAACCAATACTAGTAACATAGATAATTGATCCTAAATTGGGAAATGTTTCAGTCACAGCAGCATGTTAAAACAAGGCATTGCGTATAATTTGAAAAAGAGTAAGAAATAACAGAAATAAAATAGAAACATCTCAAAATAGAAAATAGATCAGAACTAAAAAGTAAAATATATATATATATATATATACAAATTAACTGTGAACGATAAAAATCTGTGTCCATCTGTAAAATAAACACTACGGAGGGCCAAATAACAGCTAACACACTTTAAAAGTAGGTTAGTATTTTACAATTCAAACCAAAAATCACAATCAAAAGTCAACACAACAAACAGGTTACCTGACATCTCCATAGTGTCTAATAATTATTTGAATATTATTATTATTTATACTTTTTCTTAAACCTAAATATGTTCATACAGCCCTTTCTATCATTTGGTAACGAACGCCAAGATACACATCTGCTTTAAAGTGCAAACTGATGCTTAAAGTTATCATATATCAAAGTCTGACACCTATTTTGCAGAATATCTCAAAGTTATGAAGTCAAATCTCAGGGTTCACTTACGTCAGATAAGCTTTCAAATGATCCAAGGAGGTTTTGTGCAGCCTGTAGATTTTTTTATGGTCTTCTTCAAAGCTGTCATCAGAGTACACGGGTCTTGACACCACATATTGTTTTCTAAAAGTCACCATCCTCACACGTCTGACAGATCCCAGATAATGTGAGAGGTTCTGGAGGAAGAATTTTATAAGAACCTTTGCCCGCCGCCTCCCTGTTATTTTATCTTATCTGTAATCTGAGATCGATCTCATCTCTACGTCGGTTTTGTCACTCTGTTCAATCATTAAGCAGATTTATGATCCATTGTGTGATATGTAAACACATTTTTAAATCTTTGCTTCAGCCTCTTGCATAAGGAAATTGTTCACAAGGTATTTCCACATGTTGAGATTTGTTTTTGGCTTAGTATCAGTGAGCAATTTATATTTGAAATAATACTTTCAAGCAGTTTTTCATTGAAGGAAAATGAAAGAGGATATATTCTGCTCATTTTCAGGGTCATATCAGTATTTAGTGTCTCTACTTTAAAGAGTCCTCTCCTGCTGATGTTCAGGTGTATATCAGTATGTAGTGTCTCTACTTTAAAGAGTCCTCTCCTGCTGATGTTCAGGTGTATATCAGTATTTAGTGTCTCTACTTTAAAGAGTCCTCTCCTGCTGATGTTCAGGTGTATATCAGTATGTAGTGTCTCTACTTTAAAGAGTCCTCTCCTGCTGATGTTCAGGTGTATATCAGTATGTAGTGTCTCTACTTTAAAGAGTCCTCTCCTGATGATGTTCAGGTGTATATCAGTATGTAGTGTCTCTACTTTAAAGAGTCCTCTCCTGCCGATGTTCAGGTGTATATCAGTATGTAGTGTCTCTACTTTAAAGAGTCCTCTCCTGATGATGTTCAGGTGTATATCAGTATGTAGTGTCTCTACTTTAAAGAGTCCTCTCCTGATGATGTTCAGGTGTATATCAGTATGTAGTGTCTCTACTTTAAAGAGTCTTCTCCTGCTGATGTTCAGGTGTATATCAGTATGTAGTGTCTCTACTTTAAAGAGTCCTCTCCTGCTGATGTTCAGGTGTATATCAGTATGTAGTGTCTCTACTTTAAATAGTCCTCTCCTGCTGATGTTCAGGTGTATATCAGTATGTAGTGTCTCTACTTTAAAGAGTCCTCTCTTGCTGATGTTCAGGTGTATATCAGTATGTAGTGTCTCTACTTTAAAGAGTCCTCTCCTGCTGATGTTCAGGTGTATATCAGTATGTAGTGTCTCTACTTTAAAGAGTCCTCTCCTGATGATGTTCAGGTGTATATCAGTATGTAGTGTCTCTACTATGACATGTCTGAAGGCAAATGAAAAGAGACACTTGAGGTTGGTTACCTAAAGTTAAAAAAGTGTTGCAACTTCATGGAAGGGAATTTTGTGTATTGTATTCTATTGCTGTGTACCAGTGGGGGGGGGAAAGTACTTGAATCCTCTACTTAAGTAAAAGTATTGAAGTATAATCAGCTAAATGTACCGAAATTAAAAGTACTCATTGTCAGAAAGACTTTTCGTATGAATATAAGATATCGTATTATCGTTGTTATCCCTTTATATTTGAGTGTTTTAATGTTGTAACAGCAGTAGGAAATGTATATCATATAAGTACAACAACATGTTATTCATGTACAAAGTGACAAGTGTCAAATAAATGTAGTAGAGTAGAAGTAGCAAAAAATGTAAATACTCAAGTTAAGTACAAGTACCCCCAAAATTATACTTAAAGGTGGGGTAGGTAATTTTGGAGAAACCAGCTCGAGATCGCTAGAATTTGAAAATACACAGCCGGAAACAAATCTGCCACTTCCTTACAGAGCCCCTCCTCCAACACACACGAACGCGCACATGACCAATGAGGGCACGAGATAAGTTTGTGCACAGATGGAAGGCTGACAGGCAGGTAGGCCATCCAGTTATTTTAGCTGGGCCGGCTCAGATGATTGGTCGTACTTTTTACAGTATTACAGCTTCCACAGATGACATTTTGTATGGATTTTTTGTCAAAGCACTTAAGATATTCATTGCTATCGGGATGTTAAGAGCATTCCATGGAATATAACAAAAAGTGTATCTCGAGCCGGTTTCTCAAACTTACCTACCCCACCTTTAAGTACAGGACTTGAGTAAATGTACTGTATCTTTGAACAGTATCAGGGTAGCACCCAAAACAAGGTGGACATTTGGGGAATTAATATTTTACAAAACACACACAGAAACATTGATTGTGATAATTTAGAGAGATACAATATTTATTTCAGTCGCTGCACATTCACTCTTTTTCACATTGCTTTGCTCCCCGTGTGTCGAGAAGTCAGTTCATTCTCATTATCAAGAAAATACTAAAAAACATATATATTGCACCTACATTTTCTACAAATTCACTATATACAGTATAAAAAAAACATCAATACCATGAAATTAGATTTCCTACATTACAGTAAACACTGCATATGTAAACTCAGATCATCGAAGGTATAAAGTCAAAGACAGTGTGTCGTTACATCAGTGTTTTGTACAGCTTGATTTGTAAAACATTTACTCTTTGGTCTTTTTTTTTTTGGTGTTTTCTCCAAGGAATCATCCTCTTCTCGTTCAGAAGTTAGAACTTGGTCTCTGGATCCTGTGGGTGGAGAAGGACATTTTATTCTAAAACACATAGGAGGAAGCTATGTGCTAAGACAATTAGCCATCATAGCTTAGCATTATATTTATACATTTTCAGAATCCAGGAATATTTTGCAATTGTTGTTTTTGCGTTGCTGGCATCCTCATTTCCTGAACTCGGAGCGATACAAATACTCAATATCACCTGCTAGTTTTCCCATTTTCAAATCGGATGTATCAGATCTATAGGACTTTACTAACAAGCTTTTATCATTCATTTAACTCACTATTAACCATTATTAAAGGTCCCATGTCATGCTTTTCCGGTTATTACCCGTCCCCTTGTGTGTTATGAAGGTTTCTCTGCATGTAAACGGTCTGCAGAGTCACAAACCCTCAAAGTACACCCTGTAGCGAGTAAAACACAGAAAAGACCTGACTATGCTGCCCCAGAGATTTCTCATTTTCCATTGTTTTCTTCCTGGGTACAGTGACGTGCCCATACCCAAATGGACCCATTGGTCCAAATGGACCAATCCGTGGAGCCGTTAGGTTAAGTCCGTGGATTGGTCCACTTCCTCACACACACACACACACACACACACACTCAATCTTTTCTCAGCTGCAGCTCCGCCGATTTCTCTTCCCTGAGACGGCGGGGCGAGGCTGTGAGTCTGTGTGTGAGCACACACAAACTCCCAGCCAGGCTGCGGGTGTGTGTGTGTGCTCGGGCTGGTTTCGGGCTGGGTTTCGGTGTGTCTCGCAGACGGCCACTGGGCTCACAGGGAGGGGGGGGGCAGGAGCTCCAACAAGCCGTTTAGGGCAGAGAGTGAATACACATACTATACAGAGATGCTGTATGAGAAACCAATGTGAGTTTGGAACATTGAACAATATAAATCTATTCTAGTAGACCTCAACAATGGAATTATGATCAGTAGAAATGGCCACGACATGGGACCTTTAAGTGTACTGTTTACTGTTTGTCTCAATCAGGTTTGGGAGGGTTTCTTTATACAATTACTAGTTACTGTAAAAACTGTAATCAGTAACCTATTAAAGTACATTTGAGTATCAAAATATAAAAGTAATGTAACCTGATTTCTTTCTCTTGCTTTTGGATTACCTCAATACCAAATGCAATGCAGATAAATAAAAGTGAAAATACATATCAATACTGCTTTAAGACAAGAGAACAACATATTTATTATCAAAAATGTGTCCTCTGCTCAGAGTTTGTCTTTGTTTTTGCTTTTTAGAAAAACCTGCTTTTCTATTAAGCATATTCAGGAAGTGGTCTATTGGCTTACAGTAAGAGAACATTTAATAAAAGCTCAGTGTTTCAAACTTGCAGTAGGTGGAGACATTTCCACTTTGAAGTAGAGGTCATAATGATGAACTACAGTTTGACTTGAGACTCGTTTAACTTTTTTTAAATGTATGCATGTGCTTTACGACATATCATTGTAATCCTGCTAGCAATCCCCAATTTTGTAATATCTCTTTTATGTAACTGTAAGATAATACAGAGTTTGTATCCTGACTACATGATCCAGTTATTTGCAATCGGTTACTCTCCAAGCCTGGTCTTAAGTCATGTTCACACTCGCGCAAAATGTACATTCGCCTCCCGTTGACTTCTATTCTTTGGCGAGCGAAGGGGAAAAAACATAAGCTATTGGTAGTGTGGCAGTCTTTAAAACAGGCTGTGTCAACGTCCTTGCTCTGTCTAATCGAGATGGGACTCGGGTGCATTTAGTAGTTTGTGTTTAGTTAAAATAAACCAATACATAAAAGGAAATGGTTACAAAAACAGATACGTACGTGTCGATCTCTGCTCCTCAAGCTGCCTCCAGGGTGATGAATTGTGACTGATGTTATTATCTGCAGAGCAACATAAAGAGGTTAGTATATTGTGTATGCCCAGCGCTTTGTTTTAACTTAATAAAATGTGTCTTCCTCACCTTGTCGTAGTGAGACTTCTCTTCCGTGGACTCTGGATGTTTCTGGAGGATGTGCAGCATGGCGTCATGCAGCGTCAGGAAGAACATCGACGGGAGAACTTCATCGTCAAAGAAGGAACAGTCGTGCAGTTTCTGAAGGATGTAAGCTGCAGGGAAGAAAGAGGGAAGAGGTTAGTCAAAGCACTAACTAACAGAATGTATGACACTAAGGATTATATCAGTCATGCATGTTGGGCCACTATCTCTTCTAAAAGCAACACACTCCTAAAAAGGTTGTATCAGTTCAAAAGAAATGTTCCTTAAATCAATCTTTTCCAGTAAAAATGGTTTGCTTTAATTGCATTTTGATACCAGACATAACCAAATAAGGAATACAGATGCATTGGTTGGAGTGCATTGTTGGGCAGGACAATTAATGCATAAGCAATTTGGGGTAGAAAGGATTTGAGGTTAGACATTTGTGTTACATTTTGTAAGGAACTGGAAAAGTAAAGTGTGCAATAATTATACATTTAGGGTTTATTAGAAACACATGAAGATACTTCACACAATAAACGTGTGTTTAAGTGTCTGCTAGAAGTTCAATTAACAATTGCAATGACTTTAAAAAAACTGCAGTTTAATACTTACTATCACAAGCCACAATGTAGATCTCGACTTCAACCCGAATCAGCTCTTTCAGCGCCTGTAGGGAAGGTCAAGAAGATTGATTTTTTTAATGTATTTAAAGAGTCTTCTCCTGCTGATGTTCAGGTGTATATCAGTATGTAGTGTCTCTACTTTAAAGAGTCCTCTCCTGCTGATGTTCAGGTGTATATCAGTATGTAGTGTCTCTACTTTAAAGAGTCCTCTCCTGCTGATGTTCAGGTGTATATCAGTATGTAGTGTCTCTACTTTAAAGAGTCCTCTCCTGCTGATGTTCAAGTGTATATCAGTATGTAGTGTCTCTACTTTAAAGAGTCCTCTCCTGCTGATGTTCAGGTGTATATCAGTATGTAGTGTCTCTACTTTAAAGAGTCCTCTCCTGCTGATGTTCAGGTGTATATCAGTATGTAGCGTCTCTACTTTAAAGAGTCCTCTCCTGCTGATGTTCAGGTGTATATCAGTATGTAGTGTCTCTACTTTAAAGAGTCCTCTCCTGCTGATGTTCAGGTGTATATCAGTATGTAGTGTCTCTACTTTAAAGAGTCCTCTCCTGCTGATGTGCAGGTGTATATCAGTATTTAGTGTCTCTACTGTGACATGTCTCCATGCTTTAATGTTCAAAAAGCTCTTATTTACTTAGTGATGTCACTATGTTATGGGGGTAAACAAAGGAGTCCAATGGAGGCGTTTGCAGACCATTTACATGCACAAAAAAACTAAAGTAGGGCCCATTGAAATAACTGCAACTCACCGTTTTGAGTCCCTTCAGAGCGGAGATGTCCAGGAAGGAGACAGCAGCGAAGTCCAGGATCAGGCTGTGGAGATCCACTCTGGGAACGCTGATGTTTGCGGGAAGATCGGCGTTCCAGTCGATCCGAGCGGGAAGATCCTTAAAGTCTGTCGGCAGGTCCAACTCCTCAATGTTGCTCTCATCCTCCGACTCTTTGAGGGGTCTACAGGAGGCATTTGTGAAGCCTTTCTGTAACGGTAAGACACTGTTCATGCAATTTGTAGTCATTGAAATAGCTGAATGGAGCACTTAGATGGGTGAGTTAGCTTTTAATCAGTGGTTTTGTCTCGTGAAAAACCAGACGAAAGAGCAGCTGAATCCAATAGTCTTTGGTAGCCACCTGTCAATCATAAGGAAGCCCCGCCCTAAAGCCTACCGCGATAAATAATTTATTTCACTCAATATAGGACCATTTAAAAAGAAAAAAACATCATGATGTGTTACAAAAGACTCAGAACTTGAGATTAACGCAGCGTCCACACGGCGGCGTGAAGCTTGCCGGCGGGCGTGTCTGAAGCTCGACCAACAACCAATCACATGAATCTCCCGCCCCGGACACACAAGCACGCGGTTTGATTGGCTAGAGCTTGTACTGGCATATGATTTGATTGGCTGACGCTTCCGTCGAAGTTTCAAAAGTTGAACATTGCTCAACTTTTGAAGCGAGCAACGCGAGGCGACGTTCCCACAATGCAGTTCGGCAAAGTGTGACATTCAAAGTGAATGGGCAGAAGCGTTGAAGCTTCAACGCACGCCGCCGTGTGGACGTGCCGTAAGACCAGAAACCCTCTTAGGACAATATTTACTGAGGTAATAGGTAAAGACAGATACAGTATGGGGTTATTTTCTCATAGACTTCTATACAATTGGACTTCAACCAAAGGAGTCGCCCCCTGCTGGGTATTAGAAAGAAAATGCAGGTTTTAGGTCCATTATTATGTATTAAAATGTATTTAATCACTGCTAAACCTGAACAGATTTCAAACCAAAGCAGGTAGGGTAAACAATGACAGTGTAAAAAAAAAAAATGGATGTACTGAGCCATTGGCGATTGTGAAAGTGTGTTGTTGTTGTCACTGAGGTCAAAGTCATTACTTACTGATGTCCACTGAAGGTCTCCCTTCTTAAGAAGCTTCCGGATCATCCTCACCGCTTTGTTTCTCTTTCTCAACACTCTCAACGGGTTAAATCCAACCTGAGGAGACATTAGTGTGAATGAGATGTGTGGGACAAACACAAATTGTTAAGTTTCAGATATTAAAAAAAAATACATCCACATGTTGTACTTACAGCTTCCACTAATTTGGTCCTGAAGAAGTCAATGTTGGCAAAAAAGATTGGTGACGGTATCCTGAAGATCCTCACTCCCTCCGGCTCATATATCTGGAGAGAGTTTTTAGGATTTTAGCCTTTGCAGACCATTTACATGCACACAAACCTATATAACACACTACAGGAAATGGAAAACCCCCCAAAAAGCACAACAGGGGCCTCTTTAACTTGTGTTACTTACATCAATATAGTCCTTTCTGTCTCTGTAGATATCAGTTCCTTTGATGTTTGCCAGCACACTGCAGCGAGAGCTGGAAAAAGAAAGAAAAAAGAATAACATTTTTGAATTCGATAATTGCAGCACTATGGACTTTCTTGAAACAGACATTTATCAAACAGAGAACTGCATGCTGCCATATATAAAAGTTTATTCTATATAACAAATGTTTGGATCAGATTAAATTAGTTTCAATGTTATTGTCATTGCCAGAGTACAAGTACTAAGACAACGAATTAGCATCTAACCAGAAATGTAAAACAAGCAGAAAGTGCAGAGTTATTCAAGTATAATATACTGTGAAAATATACAGTATGTGTGTATATATATATATATATATATATATATATATATATAGACATGTGATATAAACAAACATACATCTGACACATGAAGTTCAACCAGGAAGACCGTCTTTACTCTTCATTTACTATTACTATTCCCATGTAACTACTCTGTTGATCGGGGGCGTCACTCTCCAGCTTAACCAATCACTTCGCTCTATTCCCAAGAGCCTATCATAGCGCTCTGCCAAACCTTTTAAATCTGCTCTCCCCCCTCTGACAGCTGTCATTTCAGGTGACTCGACGCAACCCTCCTCCACCCCTTTTCACCTCTGAATCCAGGGTCAAGCTAAGCCACTCCCCTTCAGACCGACCCAACTATCCATTCACCACCACCAGTGTCTAGACCCCCGGGGGGTTTCATCGGATCGGTTCTACCCTCCCGAATGATACTTCCTGCACAACGGGGCCTAATCGCCAACATCACCATTACATTAATTTGTGTATCTCTGCAATAAATATGTATTCTTACAACAAAACCGTCTCTCCTGATTGAATTGAGGCATTTGAGGTATGTGTTCCCACTGCATCCGTCTGCCATGAACCCTACAGAAACCTACGTGTTAGTTTTGGCCCATAGTGGACTCCATTTGTGTTGTGTAAAATGGGGGAGATAAAAAGTTAGCAAATCCCGATGTCCTCCTCAGAGGACATTCATAAACACATTTAGTTTTAGATCAAATAATTATTACACTGCTCTGAAAACTCACTACACTAACTCCTAAGATTTTCCCTTACTATAATTATTTAAAATATTGAACTCACAACACTGGTAATTACAAAATTACAAACTTACCATTTCTCTTTCTATAAATAGTGCTTGTGTTGATGGACGCCATTTTGAAATACATTGAAATTATCTTTTTCAAAGCCACACCCCCACATATGTCATATGTTTGAAAAGCCCAGGATGTCTTCTGTGCAGTACAATTGGACTTAATGTTGTGGCAAGTATAACTCAAAGTAATGGACAAAAATCAATGGGTGGGTCTCTGGAGAGTATAGAAATACACAGTATAATACAGACACTAGCGACAGATACATATCAATATATATAATGGACCGTTATGGACATTTAGAATAATAAAGGGGTCACTCATCAGCCAGTCACTGGGTATATGTTATGTATTTATTTCAACAAGGACCATACATACAAATTCATTAATCTCAGAAAAGAGAATAGATTAATTATGCCAGATTTGAGCTAATAGCTCATTTCCACCTGCAGTCCTTATCCAGAGGGGGAGTGTGTAAGATAAAAATGAAAGCATCCAGATACTTACAACTGAGCCCTGAGCACCACGCTGAGCAGCTCCACCCCGAGACCTACAGCCAACCCGAGGTCCAGCCCCAAAAAGATGGATGCAATACAGGTAGCTAACCACACCACCTGATGGAGAGGATGGTTAAGTTCAAAGCCGCAAATCAATAATGACCTCGTAACGTCCAGGGACTTTTCACACGGAGATAACTCGTACACATGTTGAGAGGAAACAGCATTTAAAAAAAAAACATCCATACGAACAAATTCCAAACTTCATTGCATCTCAACAAAAGGTGTTGATCTGTGGAATAACTGTAATGATGAGCTGAAATATTTAAGTTGATCTAAACTAAAACTATTATTTAGAAACCAAACCCTGAATGGTTCTGAGCCGGACCTGTGAACTCATGCTTGTTATTTCTTGTCGTTGTAAAAGTTATTTATTTTTGGTTGTTTTGTACAAAAAAAAGTATTTGTTTAAAACAATCAAATATCACGGATGCTGCTGATGATGACCTCATCTTTTATTTTCATGAACAATGTACGCTAGAGGGAGACCAGAAACGTTTTGAAGCTTCTTCTTACCCCTTTTACACATGACAGAGACTTTGAGAATTTTTATTTGTTTTGCTTCTCTTTGTTATAATTATTATTATAATTATTATTATTGTTTGTTTTGTTTCTGACATGTTCAATAAATCGACTAATAATACAAAAAATGATGGAAGGAAACAGGGCAGGCTGCAGCGTGTCATCCGCTCTGCAGAGAAGGTGATCGGCTGCAATCTGCCATCCCTCCACGACCTGCACGCCTCCAGGACCCTGAGGCGGGCAGGGAAGATAGTGGCCGACCCCTGCCACCCTGGACACAAACTGTTCACCCCCCTCCCCTCTGGCAGGAGGCTGCGCTCCATCAGGACCAAAACCTCTCGCCACCTGAACAGTTTCTTCCCCTCCGCTACCGACCTCTTAAACAAGGCCCGGCCCCCCCACTGACACTTTACCTCAGCCACGTAGACTCCATATGCATTACATTAATGCACACAAATACTGCTTACTGCACATATTCTTATTTCATATTTCATATTTCATATTCTATAACTCATTGCATTCCATTTCGCTGTAAATTACTGCTTTATTTTATTGCTATTTAACTATACTTTATTACAGTGACCTTAAAGATTTTTTGTTTTATGTTAGATTTCTTGTTTTATATTTTATGTTTGCACCACGACATCAAGTCAAATTCCTCGTATGTGTGAACCTACCTGGCAATAAACCCGTTTCTGATTCTGATTCTGATTCTGAAGAGGGTGGCAAAGGTCAACTTTTTTTTCTGCCTGGTTGTGCGAAATGAGCGTTAATCTGTAATGCTGCGTTCCAGATGTAAAGGGAAATGGGAATATCAGATACATTTGTTGACATAATATATTTAATTAAATGTCAACGTTTCAGTTTTTTCAGTGTACTTGGAAACTCAGATACCTCGCTATACCCGAGATCATTATTTAAAACAGAGTCCCCATATGAACAGTAGAACACTTTGATAATATAACATGTTTTAGTTCTTCTGTGTTATTTATGTCACGTTATTAAATCAACTGGACAGAAACTGCATCTTGATATGTTGCTACAATGTTCACAAAATACAAAATAAAGCGTATATCAAGCTAACACGAGGTGACTGCTAAAGCTGGAAACAAGACCAACAACTTGGCGTCCATCTTTTCTGACTTGTGCTCTTTTAAAAATGTCTTTGTTATGCTTAGAGCTCTGGTATTAATAGCCCATAAAATGATTACTATAAACTGGCTTGAACCTCACCTCCCGTACGCAGCGTGCGTTGAAGCTTACCGGCGGGCGTGTCTGAAAACTCGACCAACAACCAATCACATGAATCTCCCGCCCCGGACACAGAAGCACGCGGTTTGATTGGCTAGAGCTTACGTTGCTCGCTTCAAAAGTTGAGCAATGTTCAACTTTTGAAGCTTCGACGGAAGTGTCAGCCAATCAAATCATATGCCAGTACAAACTCTAGCCAATCAAACCGCGTGCTTGTGTGTCCGGGGCGGGAGATTCCTGTCATTGGTTGTTGGTCGAGTTTCAGACACGCTCACCGGCAAGCTTCAACGCACGCCGCCGTGTGGACGCTGCGTAACTTTGGACCAATGGACACAAAGACTTAAGGTTGTAAACTGTATGGAAAATATAACAGCGAAACTACAACTCAAGATGGAATTGTATTTAGAGAAATGGTCACCTGTTGTAAGATATTTGGCAAAGTGAATATATTTTAGGCTTCTAATTGGACTCTCTTCTTATGCTTTGTTGATAATAACTATTATATATTGTACTTTCTGATTATATTATATATATATCTTTGCATATAACAGTATGATACTGTATCTGTACCATGGTGTGTGTCTCTGTGAGTACTTACACAGTCTGGTTTGTCCCTCCTCCACAGGTAAGGGACGTCTCTAACCTGCATCAACATGCCCTTCAGGTTGACGATGACCACAGCTCCAAGCACAGACTGGTAAAATAAGAGGTCAAAGGTTATATTTCACTGAGTTTAGACTCCATGTCGGTAGATTGAGACGGATCCAATGTTTACCTTTGGGAGCGGCTCTAGGAGAAATCCAATGGCCAGTGTGACGATCATCACGATAATAGCTGACAGTAAACCTGCGATCTGAAAAGGACAGGACAGGTATGTTTGACTGTAAAGGTGACAAACACTCCCTCTGTGCCACACGTGTTAAATACAATATGCTTCAATGGAGATTAGGTGTGCGGAAAACCCAAGTAGAAAAATGTTAATGTAATGTTATGCTGCAAGATGTTGGTTTCAGTCCACATAACCAGCACATCCAAAAGATCGGTAGTTAACACTTTAAAATGTAATTCATGAAAAAAAGGTTCGTTATGAGTCTTTGTGCTAAGCTACGTTAACTGACTGTGTGTTCTAGCCAAAGTGACATATTTTAATAACCACAATCTTCCCTCGGTGCCACACATGTTGAATACAGTATGCTTCAATGGAGTTGAGGTGTATGGAAAACCCAAGCATAAAAATAGCAAATACAATATGTAGTTATGCTGTAAGATGTTGGTTTTCTCTCAGGTTTCAACCCTGTGAGATTATTAGCAGAAGTGAAGCAAATTATCTTCATTTTTGGTTCACGGTAACATCGGGAGAAAAACCAACGTTAATAGGCTTTTCCCATCATGCTACATTTTGCTTAACTCGAAAGCCTTCAACTCATGCAAACAGGTTTCCACGCCACTCAGCGAAAACTGAACGATTTTGCACTTGTTCTGAACAAACCTCGACTTCAGTTAAAATGTGTTTTAGGGAAATAAAGCACAATATATGAGTTATAATTTAAAAACATTGTTCAAACAACAAGGCTGGCTCTCTCGGAAGCTAACAAAGTCCACCTGACAGGCAGCTAAAGTTACATATTTTAATAAACGTAGTAACACTCTTCCAACTGAACTCTTGACATGAAAGCAACTCAATGTTTCCAAATTTCCCCCAAAATATCTTACTATGCTACAAAGTACTTTGACACTTTGATGCAACAAAACATGGGATCACCATGGCTCAAACTTGTTGGATTTAGTCTCAGATTTGAATATTTTCAAGGGTTAGAATCTACGTGAAATTAAAAGTATATTATATATTATTTTACCTGTGTTTTGCCGCCTGTGCTCTCCTGCACTGCGCTCCTGGACAGAGCTGTACTCGCAGCAAAAGACTTGAAAGAAGCTCCGAAGATGTTGCTGGCTCCGAAAGCGATCAGCTCCTACAGAAAAGACATATTTTTATATAAATCCTGATTAGACCTGTAGCTTTTACTGTGATGTTGTACATACAGTGGTGGAAAGTAACCAAGTACATTTACTCAAGTGTACTTTTTTGACATTCTTGTACTTCAGTATTTCAATTTTAAATCAAGAATTTTACTTCTAAAGGAGTTTTTTTAAGACCAAAGTATTTGTACTTTAGTAAAGGATCTGAGTACTTCCTCCCAACATTGTGTACATGTCAGCATTATCACACACCTGGTTTCCATCTATGGTGTAGTCATGTTTTACAGAATACACTTTTGCCACGGAGAAGGCAACAGCGAATCCCACGATGGCCATTGGAAAAGCTTCAACTGCCGTCTCCTGGAAGATGTCCAGGTCTGGGGCCATCGGAGGCTCGTACCTGAAGACAGATATACAAACCCTAATGTTAAAGGTCCCCTATTATACTGTTTTTCATCAATATATCACAGGTCTCAGATATATACAGAGCCTGTCTCTGATTGGCTGAAACACCAAACAGATCATTGCAGCATCCCATAATCCCCTCTGTTTCAGCCCTGTTTCAAAAGTGCTGATTCTCTGTCTGTTACTTTAGATGAAAATAAGGAGCCCCTCCCCACGCCCCTCTGAGAGAGATTTGGTTAAAAAGAACACAATGGTGCTCTAGGAGGAGATTCAGGTGATAAGGTGTGGGGGGTTACCTTGGTTGCTGATTGGCTAATGGTTACACAAGCCAAAAAATCGTTATGACATCATAAAGTGGCCAAAATCTGATCAGCTCATTTTCAGACAGGTTTTTATATAAATGGATCAGGACAAAAAGAGAGAGAATCTTTGTTCCTGAAACTTTAAGAGTCTCTTCACACAGAGGGGACACATGTTGATGAAGAAGAGACATGAAGAAGAGGGGACACATGTTGATGTAGAAGAGACATGAAGAAGAGGGGACACATGTTGATGTAGAAGAGACATGAAAAAGAGGGGACACATGTTGATGTAGAAGAGACATGAAGAAGAGGGGACACATGTTGATGTAGAAGAGACATGAAAAAGAGGGGACACATGTTGATGAAGAAGAGACATGAAGAAGAGGGGACACATGTTGATGTAGAAGAGACATGAAGAAGAGGGGACACATGTTGATGTAGAAAAGACGTGAAAAAGTGGATTTTGCATAATAGGTGACCTTTAAGGAGGACATATTATGCTAATTTTCAGGTTCATATTAGTATGTAGTGTCTCTATTGTGACATGTCTCCATGTTCAAAAAGCTCTTTATTTCTCGCATACCGCCTGTGCTGCAGCACAATCAATCAATCAATCAATCAAAATCTTACCCTTGTGGAATAAAGCCGACAACTTCAATGCCAAATCTTGTCTTGAAGTCAAACGCGTATGATACTCCACATGCGATGACCGTCTGGATGAGACAAACACAGACATTTTTTATTAACTCCTTACAGTTAGTTAGTGAGTAGTTCACCTTGAACTGACACGAGTGCCATAAAGAACGTCATAAATCAGATTAATGATAAACAGTAGCGGTATCATTATTACTCCTCAGGCTTTAGAGCAGGGGTGTCGAAACTACGGCCCGGGGGCCAAATGCAGCCCGCGGACCATCTTGAAACGGCCCTCAGCAAATTCAAAAAGTATAATGATTTAAGTATAATAAACTTCTGCTTGTCTTATATTGTGCTTCTTAAATATATATGTTACAGTATTCATGTGTTAATAAGCCCAATTTTCTAATAAATTCAGTCAATTAAAGTTGAAAACATGTTCTAACATAATCTTAGTTGATAAGAAAAAAGCCCATAACTTATTTACATAACAAGCTTGAAATAAACCCTTCATATTTCCTCTTATTATAATCAATCTGAAGCTTCTGTTTTAAGGGATGAGCTGCTAACACGTCTTATAACTACAAAAAGTAAACCATCTGGAGAGCTGGGATTTAGGTTCTTAAAGCATATTCAAGTAAGAAGCATAATTTACCTACATTTGATTGAGCTTGCTGACTTAAAACTTAACTTATGAGGCAAAATACCTCTAGTGAGCGGCCCAGTTCTTCGTATATTTTCCTGTATGTGGCCCTCGGTGAAAAAAGTTTGGACACCCCTGCTATAGAGACATGCTTCAGGATCGTGTTGCGTTACGTTTCTCACCATGATAACTTCTATAGGGATGGGAACCGGCAACTTGGATTTGAATCTGTCGTTCAGCTCCTTCACGATGAACACCACCACCATGATCACCAAGGAGATCACCACGTCACACACATTGGTGGAGGTGATTTTGTTAAATATGATCTCCAGCGTCTGAAAAAGAACAAGTCAGGTCAAACAGATGCAGGACTCAGGCCATAAGACTGTTAAACACCTGCACTTTTGAAAGAACATCCATAACAATGATCTGTTTGCAACTTACCAATTATTCATCTAATATATCATATTCCAATTATTTGTTTATAGACTCTTCTTGCACTATTTTATCAGTTTTAATGTGTTGCACTGTTGGAGGAGCCTGTGACTTAAGATTTTCATTGACATATCTACACTGTAGCTATGTACACATGACAATAAAAGCCTTGAATCCTTGAAATGCTCGCTGACCTTTTTGTATTTTATTATACAGTGCTTATAGAAAGTCATCATACCCTGTGAAAATCTTAACCTTTTGTCACATTACACCCTGGAAATTAAAATTAATTAAATCCTACTTTTTTTTAGCTGTATGTACACATTATCACCCTCATAATCAAAGGAAAATTAAAATTAAAAAAAATTCTGGACAATTAATACAAATGTATAAGTGAAATAACCGGTTTGGTTAAAGTGGACCATCATGCTATATTTGAATAATATAGTGTAGGACCATACCTATATAAGGCATATTTATACTTTTTTTTTTTCAAAATACCAAACAGATCATGCATTTTAGCCATGCCTCATTTCGCTCAATTTGCACTTTTTTACCCCTGTTTTTGCAAGGGCTGATTCAGTGAGAACAGCACCACCTAGAGGCCTGGCATATGTACTACAGCGTCTCCAGCGCTTTCGAACGGCAATGGCCGTGGCTGTCTCCTCCTGATTGGTGGAGTTGGCCCAATAGCCGTAGCGCCACTTTACTGACGTCAGGACACTGTTCAAATCTGGATCAGTTTTTATCAGATCCGTTGCAGCCCCTTTTTTAGAGATTTGGGTATGGAGGAAAATAGAGAGGGTTGTGTTTTCTGACACTTGGTGAGTTCCCTGGAACACCGGGGACACATATTCATGTATAAAAGACGTACAAAAGTGCATTTTGCATGATAGGTCCCCTTTAAGTGATCAGCCCCTTGGAGTGTACCATTATAAACTTGCTCAGGTGCAACCAATCAACTTCCAGATCAAACACCAGGCTAATGGTCCCCCACCTGACATCAATTGAAGTGATTTTGATTACTTGAGAATAAAACCAGCTGTTTCTAGAGGATTCCACTACTAGTAGTGCATGGTACGGCAAACAAATCACCATGGTTGGAAAAGTGCTTTCAAAAGACCTCCGGGATAAAGTTGTAGGAAGGCACAAGTTAGGTGAAGGCTACAAAAAGATTTAGAAGGCTTTCATTGTTGGAGGAGCTCAGGTCAGAATAATTTCATTGCCATTTCTACACTGTAGCTTATATGCATATGACAATAAAACCTTTGAATCTTGACTGTGATCAGAGAGAGAGAGATGGTCTGAACTTACATATATGAGAGAGAGAGGTCCGCTGATGCCTGGAACCGTTAATCCCAAAATGAACTTGAGCTGGGACACCAGGATGTGGACGGCAGCGGCTGTGGTGAAGCCGGACACCAGAGTATCGGACAGGTACATCACAACAAAACCAACCTGCATGACACCCATCGCCAGCTGGAAGAAAGAGAGGGGTTGTGATCAGAGAGGGAAAAAGTACACGCAGCCTTCACTCAAGTATTTAAAAAATACTCTAGTAAAAGTAGAAGTACTGACTAAACTTCTTTACTCAAGTAAAAGTAAAGAAGTATGGGCTTCGAAATGTACTTAAAGGTCATGTCATGCTTTTTCGGTTATTACCCGTCCCCTTGTGTGTTATGAAGGTTTTTCTGCATGTAAACGGTCTGCAAAGTCACAAACCCTCAAAGTACACCCTGTAGCGAGTAAAACTCTAACACAGAAAAGACCTGTCTATGCTGCCCCAGAACGCCTCGTTGGAGATTTTTATTTTTCCATTTTTTTTCTTCCGGGAACCAAGTGACGTAACGACCCAGTACAGGTATTTGTGTTCAAAAAAAGTAAAAGTAAAAAGTCGCTCTGATACCAGAAAAATGTACTTAAGTACAATAACAAAGTATTTGTACTCCACTACTTCCCACCTCCGGTTAAATGAAATGTAGTTTCAATTGAAGATCAGATTTGAGTTAATATCTCATATCTATCAGCAGTCCTTGAGCATGTTCAAACATAACATTACGTAGTCTCTATCGCACAAAAACAGATCAAAGTACAAGTCTATAAAATACACTCCAGTAATAATATAATATATCAATTAATGTTTTACTATGTTGTCAAGAGTGCTGTATCAATATGCATGTTTTGCATCTTAGGAGCATAGAGGGAAAGACTGTGCATGTGATGTTTTAAGCTCATTCGGATGCATATTCCAATGCTTGATGGCTGTAAATATAGATTGTGCAAAGATTTAGGAGGTTGTATTTTGGACAATATATTGCAATGATGGTGATTTAATGATAAGGATGTGGTGGTTTATGTGAGCATACACCTGTATAACTCAGGGTGTGCACAGTGCTATGGTCAAAATAAAAAAAAAGAACGTCTACTTCTGGAGGGGATTCATGCCCTTATACACTTAATTTAGGATCATTATAATGGATGATGTTGTACAGTGTTGAAAGAGGATGATTTGTAGTGCGTTTCACCTGCATGATACCGACGAGGAAGGTCAAAGAGGAGGCCACCAGGACCCTCTGATCGTCCATCGACAGGCCTTCAAACCCTGTGATGTTTGCAGGCGGACCGACATCTGGAACCAGCCGGGTGACGACTGATCCGATCATCAGACTCAACACCGGGAACGGACCTGCAGAGAGGCAGAGGTGGGGAGTAGTGCAGTACAAATACTTCATTACTGTACTTAAGTACATTTTTCTGGTATCAGTACTTTTTTCTGACGACTTTTTACTTTGACTTCTTACATTTTGAACACAAATACCTGTACTTTCTACTTCTTACATGTTGAACACAAATACCTGTACTTTCTACTTCTTACATGTTGAACACAAATACCTGTACTTTCTACTTCTTACATGTTGAACACAAATACCTGTACTTTCTACTTCTTACATGTTGAACACAAATACCTGTACTTTCTACTTCTTACATTTTGAACACAAATACCTGTACTTTCTACTTCTTACATGTTGAACACAAATACCTGTACTTTCTACTTCTTACATGTTGAACACAAATACCTGTACTTTCTACTTCTTACATGTTGAACCCAAATACCTGTACTTTCTACTTCTTACATGTTGAACTCAAACACCTGTACTTTCTACTTCTTACATTTTGAACACAAACACCTGTACTTTCTACTTCTTACATTTTGAACCCAAATACCTGAACTTTCTACTTCTTACATTTTCCAAACAGGCTGGTTCCTTTAGTTTGAATGTGTGTTTGGTGGCGTGATCATTATTATTTAGAGTCATTGCGTGCCTATTGATTTGAACACGATCCGTGTATCCATCATTTCCTGGTCTTCTCTAAAGAAGAGGGACCAATGAAAACGTTGTCATGTTGCCGTTGTTCAGCATGGAAACATTCATTAGCTAACAATGACATTATTGTTCTATTAATATAAAGGGAGGTCAGGTACTCTTTAAAACAGCTGGTAGTTATGGGTACTTTTTACTGAAGTACATTTCAAAGCCCTCTTTACTTTTACTTAAGTAAAGAAGTTTAGTCAGTACTTCTACTTTTACCAGAGTACTTTTAAACACGGGTATCTGTACTTCTACTTGAGTAAAGGATGTGTGGGCAGCAGATTAGCTGGGTTGTAGTTTCTTAAAAGCAGCTATAGGGACAGGGTTTAAACTGGTCTTACCCACTGAGATGTGTCTGGAGGTGCCCAGGAAAAAGTAAATGATGACGGGAAAGAAGGCGGAGAAAAGTCCATACCAGGGCGGCAAAGAGGCCAGCAGACAATACGCCAGACCTGAGACACAAAAACATGCATATAATGAACACATTTCTAATATAATGCTGTTGTTTCCTCTTCTCTTATACAGTAGGTGCTATTAGCTGTGATTACACTCAAAACCCACAGGAACACTCTGTCATTCTTCGGTGCTTTTTATTATACAAACCCAGACCTGCTGCTTATCATTTTGAACAACTCAGACAGTATATGAGAGGTTATCATCATGAGATTAGACAAGTGTTAATGATCAAACAGTGCCACAAAGAAATATAAGGACAAGCCAAGCAACAAGTTATAGGATTGTTTTAGGATAACTTTTCATTTTGAGAGGTGTACAGAAGTATAAATAGTTATTTTATAGCCCCTCGATTACCCTTCAGGCTAATAATCAGTAACAAGATCTGTGTCCCTCCCTGGGAATGCTCAAACACAGGATTTGTTTTCTACCGATACCAACGCTACGTGATTAAAAATGCATTTGTCAACCTCTCTTGATCAGGTGATGCGTGGGAACAAGGTTACTGATAACGATAAACGATTCATCTTCATTTCACTATCTGACGTCTGAGTGAGCTTACAGTAAAACTGCGTCATGAAAGTCCTCGTCTCTGATAAGTGTTCAGTGGAACGATTGAGCTATTGTGCCAAAAACGGGGACTTTTGGACCGTTTTTTAAAGAGGCCCTATCAAGCTCTTTGAGGTTTCGTCTGTCCTGTAGTGTGTCATAGGTTTTAGTGCATGTAAATGGTCTGCAAAGGCAAAACATCCCTTTGTAACACTTGCACTTCTATTGGCAACACATTGTACGTGATAGGATAAGGGGCGGGACCAGTGGCGGCCGGCCCATAGGGGCGCTAGGGGCACCGCCCCCCCTCTTCCCACATTAAAAAAAAAAATAATAAAAAAAAAATATATATATTTTTTTTAATAAACAAGGTAAATATTATATAATTGGTATCAGTAAAATGTATAATCTACAATAAAATCTCGTTTAAAATTGTGTTACGATGTCTAAAGTTACTGATAAGTCACATGTTTCCTGCCTGGCCTTGCCCGTGTATCATTACTCCCTCTCGTCTGGGCGCTAGCACAGCGCCCAGACGAGAGTGCAGCAAGTGCAGCAGAAGCCAACTGTTGCTATCTTTAAACTATGCCGCCGAAACATAATTTCAGCCAATCAGCGTCGTCAAATCTGATGGTCACAGGGCTCCTACGTGAGCGCCCGGTGCAGTCTGTGAGTTGTTTGGACTCGTATCCAAGGAGACAAAACAGGAAGCTGTCATACACTCTGGAAGCTACCATTAGCAGCTAATGAAAACTCTGTTTTTGACATAAAAATGGAATTATGGATCATCAATCATTTGTGACAGACACATTGGATTAACCTATGGATTAACCTTCAACTGCGTTTTTCTCGTTTTTGATCAGAATTGTTATTCTGCAAAAGGTGAGCATATCTCCGTGTTTTGCTACCTAAAGCTACGTCGTGTGATGTCTGTATTTGCTTCCCCTGTCCCCGAGTTCTGATCGCTCAGTGATGATACTTATATTTCTAGAATCTGTGGAATCTCAGTTTGTTAGCACAGTTTATGCTGTAGAAACTATGTCCAGGACAAGGTGTTTGGAAGTTTTGGAAGATTCATAGCTAACCACACTGAAGTTATGGAGGTATTGATCAGTCTTCTCATATTTTTAAGCCTCAAATTGTCCTCCCCCCCTCTAACATCACCAGAAGTCATAATTTAGGGGGTCTTTTCTCAAAAAAATGCCCCCTAGTATTGTTTGATCACCATTTCCACAGCCCCACCTAAAATATTTTCCACCAGTCGCCACTGGGCGGGACATCTGTAAGCAGGTTGACCAATCACAATAGAGCCGGCCAGCTAACCAATCAGAGCAGACTGGGCTCTGGTTTCAGACAGAGGGTGAAAAGAGGTGCTGCAGCACAGGCAGTATGAGAAAAATAAAGAGCTTTTTGAACATTAAAGCATGTAGACAGTAGAGACACTAAACCATTTCCTTTAAGCCCCGGACACATCAAGCCGATTTTGGCCGTCGATGGATGTCAGGCCGACGATGAGCGTCCCGTCGCCCTACTCAGATCGGTGTGTCCCGCACCGTTGTGTCTTTTCGGCCGTGCCGACACCTTTTTGGCCGAAAACCTACCGATTCAACATGTCGAATCAGTAGGTTTTCGGCCAAAGGCTGTCGGTCAAATAAACCACTCTGATTGGCTGTTCAGCTAACGAATCAGTGCATGAGAAGCGAAACGGAAGTGAGGGACCCAAACAAACTATTAAGAAGGCAAATCTGAGATTTCATTTAACTCCAGCTCTCGACACAGGTTCAGGAAAGCCCCATGAGCTTCTCGCTGTAGAGTGAAAATGGAACGCACACGCTATTTGTTGTTTGTTTATATCACGCAGTCTGTTCTTCTTCTCTCGGTGTATCACGCAGTCTGTCTTCCGGTTGTTGCCTCTTTTGAATGACGAATACACACTACCGCCGCCTGCTGGTAAGGAGAGTTATTGCCACTCACGCATGCGCAGGTCGTACGTGCTACTTGGCCGTCGGCTGAAGTCTTTGCGGTGTGTTCCAGTGCGACACATGGCCAAGACGCAGGAGACGCGAGGCGACACAACAGTCGGGGGTCCGTCTGTGTCGGTTCTTTGGTGTCAGCTTGGTGTGTCCCTACCTTTAAAGAGATGAGATTCTGTGAAACACTTGCAGTTGATAATCGTTCTTACCTTGCAGGACAGCTACCAGGCCAGTGCTGACTCCAGACACGATGTCACCGATCAGCCACTCTTTGATTTGGTAGATTTTTATCCAGCTGATGATGGGCAGCAGAGAGAGAGCGGCATTCTTGGCTCGTTTGGCGTCCCATCTGCAAAAACAAATAGAAAAACCCATGTGAAATAAACACTCACTGCATTGAAGCTATAAACAACTTTATCTGATGAGATATTTGGGATACAGAACTTAAATATAATCAAAGGGATTCCAGTGGATTTAAGTAAAGACACTACATCATATTCAAAGTATCAGCAAGTTCTATGTAAGTATGAAATATAGAATTTGTATACATAGACGTAAAGGTTGAATTTTGGTGAGTGGGAGGCAGGAAAGCAAGACAGATAATTGGGTTAAACTAAAGCGTAACTAGGGGAGAACAGGGTCAAATGTGTCATGTTTGCATATTTGCTGCTGCTGCTACTATGACCAAGTAAATATGTAATAATTTGGAACAATAAGTGGTTAGAAATCCGTCAAAAAACTATCTTAACATTTTACAGTAAACTACACTTTACAAAGTCTTAAGAATTGTTCAACCAAAACCCATTTTCTCCTTGTCTCCATGGATTTGACCAAATAAATGAATCAAAACATGATCAAAAAACAAAGTGAAGTGCTCAACATGATTCTTACTTTCTAGACATGCTTTTTAGACAAAATCAATTACATGTTTTATATGTCATAAACAGTATTGTACCCAAAGCTTTATTTTTGAATATAAAAGTATTTGTAGCAAGAACCAAACATTCTTCTTTACTTTACAAAATCTGAAGATCATAATTCACCATAGAAATACATCCAACATTGCAATTCATATGATCTAGGTTATAATACTGTATGGACAGTATATTTATATGTTGTACTGGAAGTTATAGTTAAGTTTCACAATAATAAAATACCGTTTAACTTGTGAAATAGGAAGTTAACCCACTCTCTTCTCTATAAAGGGCCAAACATCAAAGGTTACTTGTGCTGTGATGACAGGTCAGAATCCTCCTAGGAAACAAAAACCAACCTAAAAACAAGCATTGCATGTTTTTCTTACGTTAAGTACAGCTTGAAGTGGTCCAACATGGTCTTTCTGTGGCGGTAAACCTTCTCATGGTCCTCGGTGAAGGAGTCCTCGGAGTAAAGCTGCCGGGCCACCACGTACTGCTGAGCTCCAGGACGCATCGTGTCCTCTCTGCTGCCTCGTCTCTCTGGGGATCTGAGGGCCATTTATCACATTAAGTTAAGGGAAGAGGGTCCTGTGCTGCCTTTGAACCTCAATTATCAAATAACATTAACAGCCAACAACAAAGGAACAGACTTGGCAGAGTCCTCATCTGCACCGTGTGTGCCAGGCAGAGATGGTAAAAGTACACACATCCTTTACTCAAGTAGAAGTACAGATACTTGTGTTTAAAAAGTACTGACTAAACGTACAAGTAAAGAGGGCTTTGAAATGTACTTCAGTAAAAAGTACCCATAACTAGCAGCTGTTTTAAAGAGTACCTGACCTCCCTTTATATTAATAGAACAATAATGTCATTGTTAGCTAATGAATGTTTCCATGCTGAACAACGGCAACATGACAACGTTTTCATTGGTCCCTCTTCTTTAGAGAAGACCAGGAAATGATGGATACACGGATCGTGTTCAAATCAATAGGCACGCAATGACTCTAAATAATAATGATCACGCCACCAAACACACATTCAAACTAAAGGAACCAGCCTGTTTGGGAAATGTGAGAAGTAGAAAGTACAGGTATTTGTGTTCAACATGTAAGAAGTAGAAAGTACAGGTATTTGTGTTCAACATGTAAGAAGTAGAAAGTACAGGTATTTGTGTTCAAAATGTAAGAAGTAGAAAGTAAAGGTATTTGGGTTCAAAATGTAAGAAGTAGAAAGTAAAGGTATTTGTGTTCAACATGTAAGAAGTAGAAAGTACAGGTATTTGTGTTCAACATGTAAGAAGTAGAAAGTACAGGTATTTGTGTTCAAAATGTAAGAAGTAGAAAGTACAGGTATTTGTATTCAAAATGTAAGAAGTAGAAAGTACAGGTATTTGTGTTCAAAATGTAAGAAGTAGAAAGTACAGGTATTTGTGTTCAACATGTAAGAAGTAGAAAGTACAGGTGTTTGTGTTCAAAATGTAAGAAGTAGAAAGTACAGGTATTTGTGTTCAAAATGTAAGAAGTAAAAGTCAAAAGTCGTCAGAAAAATAAGTAGTGCGTAAAGTACTGATACCAGAAAAATGTACTTAAGTACAGTAGCGAAGTATTTGTACTCCACAACTGCCCACCTCTGGTGTCAGGCTCTTTTTGAGATGTAGAAACAGGAACACCTCAGAGGTTTTTCCCACTGAACTTTTCCCAAAATCGATGGGAGCAGCATCCCTGGAATTCTGTCTACTTATAAAGATCCTGTGATATTTCATTTCATTTGTATTTGTTCCGATCAATGTATGCACAACTTAATGTATAACAATTATGTACAAAACATGTCTCTATAAACACACCATACCCGAAAAGGAGCACGGAGAAGAAAATAATCTTATATATATATAATAAATAAATAGAAATAGATGGTCTGTCCTTCATATTCACTGCCAATCATAACAGCATCGTAGGAAAATAAGAGAAACACAGAAACTTACAAAAGAATACTTAGTTCCCACTTGACAGTTAACAGAAAGAAACAAAACATCACATGAACAAGGGGAAAGTGTAAAGACTTCACACCCAAATGAATTCAAAAAGCAACATTTCCTTATCCGAATAAGTGTTATATCCTACCTGAAAATGTCCTAATCTTTCTCAAATCCACACTCTCCACTTTCTCTTCTTCCTCCTCTTGCTCCTGGAGTTCAAATGGCACCTCAGACAGCTTTTCCATCAATAAATGCCACCTCTGCCGCCTCTTATCACGACTGTAATTATTAACAAGCAATTATGAAGCCCCTGTTGATAAATCCTGCCTTATCCTTTGGACCATTGTTCGTACTGATATCTGGAACCTGCAACTTTCAGCTGAAACTTTTCCGCCCCCAAAGAGCATTTGGAAGATATTGTACCGATGGGCAGGATAGGGAGGATGTGGCCGGGACAGACAGGACAGGACAGGGCAGGACATTGTTATGAAGTGGAAATCAAGTAGCTTTTCAGGATGGGAAACACTCCTGAAGGTCGGCTGCAGCAGTGCACTTCAATGGGTAAAAATAGTTTGCTGCAGGAATTTGTTTTTGTGAATGCAAGAGTTGTATTCCAAGATTCATTTATCCAGGGTGTGATAAGATCAAATAACGTAGGTGTCACTTTAGGCCCTCGCCACTTTTTGAGATCTTATTTATTTCAAAAGCATAGATTTCTAAGAACTTTCTGAGGAACAGCTGCCTCAATAATATTGAAATTCCTCTTTGGAAGGTGAATTTGAACAGTAACTATGTGACGTTAAACAAACAAATGTGCATTAGCCATAACACAAAACACACTAAAACAAAAACACTTACTAACTAACTATCCAGGGTGTGATAAGATCAAATAACGTAGGTGTCAACTTAGGCCCTCGCCACTTTTTGAGATCTTATTCTTGTCCCATTATTATTATAAAAGCATAAGGCGCTTTCACACCGCAGTACTTTTCCCAGTATAGTTCCGATATAGTTCAGAAAATGTGCGTTCACACCAACAAAATCCGGAACTAGAACTTAGTTCATGAGAACCTTTCCACCCCCTTTTCAGTCCCTGCTAGAGAGCAGGTACTTTCCTGGGAGAAAAAGGTTCCCATTTCTGATTGGCTGGACGGATTGCAAACCACGCCCCGTAAAACTCCCAAAAGGTTTTGTGAATCCGCCATTTTATTTTCCTCGCATTAGCATTATTAGCATTAGCCCAGCGCACAAACGGAGAGAGACTAACTTATGGCAACACAAAAGAAAACATGGGAGCGGTGGAGATGAGGAGGTGTCGGCGTTCTGGCGATTTACTCGGAAGGCTTCAGTAGAAGCTGCTGGGAGTCCCAGCAGCTTCTACTGAAGCCAGTCCCCAACTCCGGGGACTTCCGGCCGGGGACTTCGGGTGGCAGTATACGCCGTGAAGTTGTTTGCGGCCTGCCAGTAAACCCAAAGCAGAAGAAGAAGAAGTGACGTCAGCGGCTTCATTTGCCTAATCCTCCCTCAGGGACTTATTCCGGTGTGAACGCGAACTGTACTTAGTTCATGAGAACTAAAGAGTTCTGATGAACTAAGTACGGCAAAGTACTTGGTGTGAAAGCGCCTATAGTTTTTAAGAACTTTCTGAGAAATAGCTGCCTCAATAATATTGAAATATCTCTTTGTGACGTTAGTATATACAATGTATATATATGAAGAGCAACCAAATGTGCATTGGCCAAAACACAAACTAAGGAAATAATCCTTGATAATCCATGATATGGCGTTTCATCACGGCAGTATTTAGTTTAGACAGTAGCTGCCGGGTCCCGCATGAGCTCAGCCCCCTCCTTCTTTTTTTTTTAAAGCTTTATACCCCAAATCAGCACTTTTGAAACAGGAAGTGAAATAGAGGGATATGAGGCATGGCTAGAATCTGTTAGGTATTTTGAGCAAAACACTTCATAGACATGTTTTTTATATATTGCTATATATCTGAGACCTATGCTATTGCCTAAAAATAGCATGATAGGTGACCTTTAATATTATTGCTTTCAACTAACCTAATACAGTTTGTTGACATAAAACATTTAATTAAAGTCAACGTTTCAGTTTTTAAGTGAAGAAATAATCCAGAAAATTGTAAAAATCTGTAACTTTAACACATTATTGATATGGTTATTTCCTGTCTTCCCAATTCCCTCTCTGTGAACAATACAAACTGCACTGTTCAGCCTGCTTTATGACTTTGTTGACATGTTGTTTTACTGTATATGCCTTAGATTATCCATATTATCCCCAAAACCTGCCTTAAAAACATGTACTCTGACCTCACACTGATCGATCTGTCAAGGCAAATCAAGGAAACAACAGACAAACTGAAAGAGACTGTATGAACTAGAGTAGTGTGTGATTTTGTGTGAGTCATTGAGAATTAGGGGGGGGGGGGGGGGGTTACTCACTGGTTTCATTGCAATCTCATTGAAGTGTCTACTCATAATGAATTCAAAAACCTCCCAGTTGTGAGGATGTAATCGGATAA